TCTTCCTTCAATGGAGTTATGCAAGTAGCATTATCCTCATATGATGTTGTTAGAACTTTTTTTGCTAATAGATAAACTGCATGTTTCTCGGATATGATGGATCGTTGATCTTAGCCAAACTCATTCTCGACTTGCCTTGTAAATTGATATTTCTACATGATTTGAAGATGTGGCGACTATAGTTTACTTCATAGAATGTCAAGGTATAGTTGTATCTTCATATGTAAATATATAACCGAGTTGTGATCGAGCTTTGTGTGGATCGGATAAATAACTCCGCATCTGCATAACCAATTAATCTTGTCTTTGATTTATTAGAGTAATATAAACCCATATCAATTATTCCTCGAAGTTAATGTAGTATATGTTTAATTTCATTCCAATGTCTTCGTGTTGGAGGAGAACTATATCTTGTCGAATATTATTAGTAAGATATATCAATATTCGATAAGATATATCAATGCACTAGTGGCACTAAGATATGATACTTCATGATCGAGTAGTTCTTTATTATCTTCTCGAGATCGACAAGGGTCTTTTTAGATTTCAAGTGAACGAACTACCATTGGGCTACTCAATAAATGATTTTTATATAGAATCATAGTAGAACCTTTTCTATATAAATTGACTGATGAATAAAAGTCTCATTCTCTAAGTGCTCGAACTCCAGTGTCGGGATAACATTTTTTTCAACGAATTCACATCAAATTCTCTTTTTAGATAACTTATGACACTTGGAATCTCTTTGGAGGTTCCAATAATATTTAAATTATCAACATATACAACAAATCTCTTTTCAAATAAAAATATATGAACAAATAAGATTATTTTTTATAAGTTTCTTTCAATAAATAATTATTGAAGTGATTATATCACGTGTACATAAGTTAGTAATAAACAAGTAGATATAAAAATAAAAAATAAAAAAGTATAATATAAATTAAATTTCTAAAAACTAAAATAATAAAACAAGTACTGAAATAATTCTAATAGAGATCTCTATAATTTAATTGAATTCTTTTCTCGAGAATATATGTTACATGCTTCTAGCATGTTAAGTCCTTCTAAGACTTTCATACTAATATCATTTCAAATGAACAAAAAAGCTGTGATCACATTCATTAAATTCATGTATATGAATATTTTTCATATATTTTGCCAGGCTAATGAGATAATAAAATATAATTGCTTATATTATAGGGGAATATGTCTCCTCATAGTTAATGTCGATTCTTTGTAAAAACTCTTATGTTGAAAGTTTTGCTTTGTATCTTACAATCTCATATTTCTTATTTCATGTTCGCATAAATACTTATTGTATCCCACTAGCTTAACATCTTCGGGTGTTTTAGCTATGGGTTTAAAAAACTACTCTTTTATAAGAGAACATAATTCTTCCCGGATTGCTTTTTTCATTTAGGCCAATCATCTTTATGTCAACATTCTTCAATAATTTAGGCTCGGGATCTTTATTTTCATTCAAATTATCAATTGTAACTTACATATAAAAATCTTATCAATAAATATTTCTCTTCGATCCTATGTTCTCCCCGTATTGACATAATTTATCAAAATCGTTTGATTTTTCTCAAGCATTTGGACTTCTTCTAGAAGCCTATTATCGAAATATCTTGGATCGTTTTATGAATATTTACATCCTTTATATTTTCATCTTGTCCTTTTCTTTTATGGATTTTTATCTTTAGAACCGATCGGTCTTCCATGCTTCGGGCGTGCTTTAGATTCATTTGCTATAACATTAATAGATGATCCTTCTTGGACATCAATTCTAATAGGAGCATTCTCAATGAGGACATGCATTTTAGTTACTCTATTAGGATATGAGAATGTATCTACCAATTGATTTGTAATACCTTGTAAATGAATTATCTTCTAAACTTCTAGTTCATATTGTTTTTATACCAAATTAATATAAAGATAGAGTACTTTATGTCATCTTTTTTTTTAAATATTTTCAACTCGTTTATTTTTTTTATTCTCTCTTTATTTTGTTTATTCTCTCCCCGTAATGTTGAAAAACTCGTTTCATCAAAATGACAATCGATAAATCGAGCTATAAAAATACCTTTTGTTTATGAATCAAGAGATCGAAGAGATTCAAATCCAACATATATTCCCAATCTCCTTTAGGTGCCTATTTTATTTCGTTATGGAGGAGCACTACGGATATGTACTACAATATCAAAAATTCTTAAATAAAAATATTTGACTCATGACCATAAACCAATTGAAGAGAAGAGAATTTCGATAACTTATGAGTCCGATGCGAATAAGTGTTGTCGCATGTAAGATTGCATGTCCCCCAACATAAACATGGAGTATTATTTTTAAATAATGATTTAGCTATCAATTGGAGCCTTTTGATAAATAATTTTGCTAAACCTTTTTGAGTATGAACAGGACAACGGGATGTTCAACCTTTATTTTAATAGCCAATCAATAGTAATTTAATGCTTGAGAAATAAATTCATCGACATTATCAAGGTGACTTGTTTTAATAGCATAATTTGAAAATTATGCTCAAAATCAAATTATCTACTAACAATCTCAAAAACATCAGGTTTCGAGTAGATAATAAGCATATATGTGACCATCTTGTGGATGCATTTATCAAAATCGTAAAATATTTAAATGGTCCATATAGTGAATGAATTGATCCACATATATCACCTTGAATACATTCTAAAATACTGAATATTTAATCTCAATTTTACTTGATGATGGCTTAATCATCAATTTGCCTTGACAACATGTAGAATATGAAAGTTCATTAAATTGAAGAATCTTCTTACTCTTCAATAGATATTCATATAAATTTTTTAATAATTTTTTCGCATCATGAAAAACCCAAGATAACACAACTGGTCATGTCACCTAGTAAAAGTATTTGAATTAGTAAACTTTTGGTTTACTACAATATTTGTTTCAATCATTTCAATATTTGTAATAAAGACTAGAAGAAAAAAAGATAAATTTTTTTGATAGATATTTTTTACTTGATATAATAATTATAACATATAAGTATTCACATTTGCTATCTTGATACGATATCAATTCAAATGAATATCTTTGAAACTCAACAAATTTCTATGAGACTTTGAAGAAAATAGTACATCATTCATAATAAATTTATGCTTTCGGATAATAACATATTTGCTCTTTTGGAGCCTTTAAATTAGTCACTTCAAGTAATAATATATCGACTATTCTAGAGCCTTTAAACATTTTCTCTTCAAATGATAATTTATTCACTCTTCTAGAGCTTCAAAAATTTATCTCTTCAAGTCATGATATAATCGCTCTTCTAGAGCCTTCAAAATTTATCTATTTAGATAATAATATAGTCACTCATCTAGAGCTTTTTATTAGATTGATATTACCATATATAATATTAACATAAAATAAACAATCAAATAAATCGATACAAAGTGAATAAATATATTCCTCATAAACACAAACAAATAAATAAATTTGTAATCATCACTAAACGATATAAATTATAATAAATATAAAAAATTTTATTTATAAATAGAAAAACTAACAATTAATTAATTTCAATTACTATTATTTTGATATATAAAAGTGGCATTCATATTTTACTCTTTATTTTTTAAAAAGGCTTGACAAGGCTTAATGAGGCTTGATCGGCGAGTACATGGTCAATTTTCATTCATTCCACATCTATAATATTTATTTTTCAGAATATTGACTTTATTTATTTTATTTTTTCATAGTTATCAACTTTTGGTGGTGAAATGTAATATTATGGTCATTACGATTATAATGATACTTATTTCGATCATATCCATGGCTATGACCACATCTTCATCCATGTCTAAAATTATTATAAATTGTCACATTCACTTTAGGGAATGGAGTAGATCCAATTGGATGAGATTTATTCTTTTTCATTTTATTTAGCCACTAACAAGTATAAAATCGATCCAAAATATTTCTTAAACTCTTTTTCTCGATATGCTACTACAGGAGCATATCCCAGACATAAAAAGTAGAGAATATTTTTTTCAAAATCAAGCACTCATAATCAATAATTCTTATTCAAAATATCAAGAGTCACCAAATTAAGTTTATGAGGTTTGATATGATAAAAATTCTATAATACAATATATAATAATAATATTAGAAAATAAGAACAAATATAATAATAAAATTAAAGCTTTTCAAATAACATATATTAGATCATTTAAGTTTTTCAAATATATATTTCATGTATCAATATATTTAAAGTTCATGAATAAATTAAATACATATCTCTTAATGATCTAAATAATTTAGATCTTTTGGTAGAGTACTTGTGTAGAAGATATCCAATTGTTGAAACAATTGATTAAATCTTTTGGTAAATACATACCTCGTGGTCTATTGTCTCGATTGGTTAAAACTTCGTGTTGATAACATGTTATAAAATAAATAAAAAGAATAGAATAATTGAAGAAAATGATGACAAGAAAATAAAATCATTATAATGTGAATATAAGTAATAAGAACTTAAAAGTTTCTCTTATTCTCTCTAGTAAATTTGTACACCAACTAATGAATAATCAAGCCTATTTATATGTTTCAAAATTGAGGAGAGAATTGGAAAGGATTATGAATAATTAATTATATCACCCTTTCAATTTCTCATATTGAATGATGAATTGAATCATATTAAGAATCATGAGTAGTGCGAATATGAAAAATAGATAAACATAATGAGGGACATTCATTATTTCATAGAAAAAATCAATTTAAGACGTTTTATTTTCCATTCCTATAAATTAGATTTATCTAAAATTTTTGAAATAATCTATTTTTGTACTTTTTTAAACTGTTTTATTACAACCATTGTATAGACTGTTAGAACTCTTTATTTTATATCTTTGAATACCTGAAAATACTGGGTAATTGACAAAACGGCAACGTGCAAGATGCATGCTAGTTTTTCTCTATTCATAGACCCGAAATACAATGACTGTTTAGTGGTAGTTAATGCCCTCAGGCCTCATCCATTCACCTGCTAATAGTAATGTTGTCATGAATGGACTATCGTTTGGTTCCAGCTTACTGCTTTATGCCCAGTTTTTTTTGGTTTTTGTCTCTCTTTTTTCAAACATAACATCACATTGCATTTGTGTTCTTTCAGATCAGCAACTTTTCGAACCAGCTATATCAGAAACTATTGAAAAAGAAAAGTACACGAATTTTAATTAACAGTATGCCAAAAGAGGTTGAAGATTAAAAATAAAACTTGCTCAGATCAAAATTTGACAAACTACTTTCTTTTATTCGATAGAGTACTCTACCTAACCAAACTATTGATCACAAAAATTGTTATTGCTGGAGTACAACATCAAAATGATTCATTATTTTAACAGTAGTATGGATAAGATCAAACCCAGATTTCTTTCATAGAAGAAAAATACCAAGCGTAGACGTAGAGTATGCGTATTATGACTGAATGTATGAAATGAGGAGAGATTTTCCTGACTGCTTCTATGTCTTCACTTCAAGGAGTTCTCAATATCAATTACAAACCGGTACTTCACATCGTTCTTTATCATCCTCTCAAGAGCTTCATTTATGTACTGAATTGGAATTACTTCGATCTTGGGGTAAATTTTATTAGCAGCACAAAAGTCCAACATCTCTTGGGTCACTCTGGTTCCACCTGTTATGCTACCAGATACAGTCTTCCTACCTGCCAGAATGTTAGTTTGAGCAATTAATTTCACTTGCAATTTTTATATTTTATTTTTAATCGATGGAAGACTATTAGAAAATTCATGAAGAAAAAAATTAAGTAAAAAAGTCTGGGGTAAATTACCAAGTAGAAGGCTTGCGGGACTGAATTTCACTTCACTTGGGAATCCAACAAGAACAAAAACACCAGCAGTCTTCAAAAGAGACATGTATGGATCAAATGGGTGATCGCCTGATGCTGTGTCGATTATGAAGTCAAGTGATTTGGAATAAGCCTGTGTAAAAATATCAAATATCAACAAAACAAAGAAAGAAAGAAAGAAAGAAACAATCGAATTTTCAATATATTGCTCATGTCATTAGATAAAAACTTGCTTTTGAGAAATTCTTTTCACTTTACCTTCATCTGCTCTTGATCAGATGTAATCACAAAATTGTCTGCACCGAGCACAGTCAAGGCTTCCTCCTTTTTCGATATGCTTGTGCTTAAAACAGTGACTTTCAATCCAAAAGCCTTACCAAACTTGACTGCCATGTGACCGAGACCACCAAGACCGATCACTCCAAGAGATTTACCAGGTTGGTTCATCTTATGTTGCTTCATGGGGTTGTACACAGTAATTCCAGCACAAAGCAGCGGTGCAGCTGAGGCCAGAGGATAATCATGAGGTATCCGAAAGCAGTACCTGTAGATTCAACACAAACAATGCAATGAAAGCTGGCTCATTTTCCTGAACATCAGATTAATTGGTCAACAACATCATATTAACTCTAGAAATTACAAGCCTTAGCATTGAATTGCTTTCGTGGTGTTGGAGACCACGAGCATGCATTAGAGTACTATTTGATACTGAAGCGATAGGAAGGAGACTGAAGCAGGAAGCACTTGGTCAACATCCCCCCAAGCAGAGCTAGGCTCTGAGATGGGGCAAATCATCTGAATTTCATGGTCGCAAAGTAATAGCAAAGTCAACTTATTTATCATGGATAGTTCAGTTCAAAATTTCTTCATGTTCAACAAAACAAACAGAAAATATTAGAACAAAGACAGAAATCACAAAGTACTTACCTTTCATGTACGACGATGTAGCTAGAATATCCACCCTTTGTGATCGAACCATCTGCATCAATGGCATTGAAGGTGAAAACGGATCCTTTTTCGCAACTGACTTCTTCCCTGTCATTGCAGTACTCACATTCTCTGCAAGAATTAACATAAGTGCCTACTCCAACATGGTCACCAACCTTGAAGTGGCGAACATTGGGACCAACGTCCTTTACAATTCCAACAATCTCATGCCTGCAAGCAAATAAACATAACTACATCAGTTTAATCAAACTATAAAATTAGTTCCATTATTGAAGTTAGCGATATTATTCAATTAGGCTACATACCCAGGCACCAATGGGTACCGCGAATCTCCATGCTTATTCTTACTCCAAATAACATCAGCATAGCAAACTCCACAATGAGTTATTTTTAGCGAAACATCATCATTTCCAAGAGCCCTGATTAGATTTAACTAGATTAACTTTAGCCAACAGATAAAAGGGCAAAAAGAATTCTGGAAATACGGTCACTTCATTCTTGGTTATAACTCACAATATCACAAAGCTACAGAATTTGGTCATTATTTTCAACAAACAACACAGAATCTACTGAATAAAGCAAACATTTTTTTCCCAGTTCTTCTAGCTTATTTATAGTCGACAAAAGCTCTATAAATCAATAAAAAAAATTCGTATGGGAAACCTTAAGCTGTAAATTGCAACCACTCGTATAAATATTGCATATAAAAACCAAACTCAACTTTCAAGGAAAAACACAATTCTCTAAATTGACATTGTTTAATAAGCAAATACATCAAGCAATATACCTGCGACTAAACTGGTAAGGCGATAAAACTCCAGATGGGTCTCTCGCCGCCCATGCAAGACAGTCCTCTTTAACACTCTCGGAGCTCATTGCTAAGTAAAAACCAAACCACCATAAAGCAATGACAGTAAATAAATAAAAATTGTCAACATTGTATACATCATTACCTGATCATTAGCATCTAGAGACATTCATAAACTTTACAATAAATCAAAAATAAAACAAAGAAAGATTTGAAAAGTTTATAATGGAACTTGTCCATAGATTTGATGATAACTAAAGTTTTAGACAGACAGCAAATTATGAATCTAAGATGCGATTGACAGATTGAAAGTTTGAGGAAATATAGATAAAAGGGCAATCAAATTTAACGTCATATATAAACAGTAAATTCAAAGAAATTAGTACTAAATATCAAATTGAAAGAATATAGAGAGTTTTGTTTGTTCTTACCAGTCAGCAGTTGAGACACAAGAAGCAATGCGTTGCTCGAAAGACATGGATGAGCTAGGTCTTTTATGTACGCACCAATAGTAATAACGAGTAAATTATATATCAGTCACTCATGTTTTGAGAAAAAAATTAGATAGTTCTCTTTGTTTAAAAAATTATTTATTCAATTCTTTTTGTTCATTTTATGTTATTTTATAATTTGATTTTTTTATTAAAAAAAAAAGCAATTGAAAAAACCAATCAATTTGAAGACTCCAAAATTCGACAAATATGCTAGAACGGGATGTTTTAAAAAACATGTATATACGAAAGATCATATATATATTATTCTTTACAAAATTTTCTCTGTTGTCACTAAAAAAAAATCCATTGTTCGGATTTTTTTATATCGATAAAAAAAATACTTAATAAATATATATTTTAAAAAATAAGAAAATAGACATGATAGAAAGATTGATAAAAAAATATATATTTTTAAATTAAAATAATATATAATTAAACATGATTTAACATAAGAGACTAAATAATTAGTTTTTTAAATAAAATGTATCAATTAATTAGTTTTTTAAAACTAAAAGAAGTAATTTATAATTTACTCTAGTAATGATCTAGGTGGAAGTAGATGCATGGACGAGGTGGAGCTAGGATTAGGTAAGCATGGACGTCAGATAATAGCTTACCAAAGCACGCACGTCATCTTTGAACTTTATGACTAGTCTTCCATAACTCATGGATGTCTTTGAACTTTATGACTAGTCTGCCATAACTCATGGCTTCAGATTAGATTTGTTAAGTCATATCTATTTTTGGATGCACTAGAATTCATCTTGTTTTGTTTATATTAAGTTAAGAGAACTTGAATCTAAGACCTTTATTATATGCTGAGTCAAATATTTGCCATTGAATTGATTTCTAGCTTTCCTAGTGGGCAATTGTGATTAGACAGATCGGGCCACTTGTAGGTCCTTGGGCCAAGTTCTTATGGGCTAGTCATGGTCCATTATCCAATTCAGAATACAAACTTTTTCAAGCCTGCATGAAGAGAAGGTCTCACTCCATTATTAGAGTTTTATATGCTAGAAAAGTTAGGAATTGGACATTTTAATCCAAAATCACAGAACCATAAATATGGCATAAGGGAAAATATTGAAAGGTTACTATGCTAGCAAACATACCTTAGGTTTGTCATCTTTAAGTTTCAAAACTTAAACATGCTGCAGATACATCCTTCAGCGCAGTAAAAATCATGGAACCAGGAGATATTTAAAAGATCATGACAGCAAGACGGGAATGAGGAGGCAGCATAGAAAGGTCTATATACATCAGCCAATTGGTGAAGAACAATCACAATAGGTAGAAGATGCTTGTTAAGACCCATCTGTTCAAGTGGAGCCCTAGACCACAAGAATGAGCCTCATAATCATTTCCTCAATTCGATTATGGTCACTTCCAGGAAGTATTTGTGACGCTCTTTCCTTTTTATTGAAGGCTTCTCGGTCTGCTCATTCAGTTCCAGGCACCTTTTTGATTGGTCAGGTTGTGGTTAAGTTGTTGCTGGAACCAACATGACAGCAAAACAGCTTAGCATCTTCCCCATTTCATCCATTTGAGCATCATTTCAAAGAGCTTTGCTGTTCAATCCTCAAATATTTTTGTACTGTTATGAAGCATCAAGTAGAAAGAGAAGATAAATAGGTGCAGAAAATCTGATTAGGATCCAACTCTCCATCAGTAACTTAGCTTGGATGTCACTGATAAAGAATGATGTCCTCTTATAAGCACTAGTGATAGCACAGGAAAATATTTAATGCACGGACATAGTGTATCCAAGATAAATAGCATGAAGAAACTTGCTTTGTTTGCAGTACTCCCTAGGAAGCTTATTTCAATATTTTGATCAGCAAACAAAGAGCAATAATGGTCCCATGAATGGAAGCATTTCATGAACATCAAATCTAAATAAAAAAAACATATTTTTTCAGGTGATTAGGTTAACAAATTTGTATGCATTGTGACTCGTATTCATGAGATTAGATCAATATCCAGAGAGCATATTATTTGGTTAAACATAAATTTGCAAGGGCACTAAGAACATACTTTGTCACTAATCCCAAGAAACATAACCCTTTATCATTCAAAGGATCCCTTTTAATGACTAAAATTTATTAAAATCGTACTAAAAATATGGCCAAGGAACATGTAATACTTAATAATAATATTCGTAACATTATTCACAAGCATCAGAAGAGAAATAAAGATCAACTCTTCAATAAATAAATCCAAATTCTTCAGTCATCAGGTACCACCTCTTATGCACTTATGCTACTGGACACAGTATCCATACCTGCCAGAATGTTAATGTAAGCAATTTGTAGCACTAGGTAATAGTTTTCTGACTGACAAAACTACCATTAACCAACAGAAGAGCCGGGGGATTTTAGATGAAAAATCATTCAATAATTTGCTATTGTAAATACCAATAAGAAGGTTCGCAGGACTGAATTTGACCTCACTTGGGAGCAACAAGGACAAGAACACCAGCAGTCTTCAAAAGTGATATGCATGGATCAAAAAGATTATCACCAGATGCTGTGTACATTATAAAGTCTAGTGATTTAGACAAGACCTGCAAAATAAGGCAAAATGAAAGGAGAAACCATAATGTTCAGTATTGCCTATGTCATTGGTGAAAAATCGCTCGAAAGAAATTCATGGAACATTACCTTCTTTTGCTCTTGATCAGATTTAACCACAAAAATGTCTCCAAGAAGCACACTCAAGGCTCTCTCCTTTTTGGTTTTCTAGTTCTTAAAACTGCAACTTCCAATCCAAAAGCCTTCCCAAACTTCACGGCCTAGTGTCCCAGACACCAAGCCAATCACTCATAGAGATTTACCAGCTTGGTTCATCTTATGCTGCATCACAGGACTCTACATTGCAATTACAGCACAAAGCTGAGATAGTCATCAGGTATACAAAAGCAGTAACAGTAGAATGAACACAAACAATTAAGTGAAAGATGGTTCGACATTTGCCGATCCCAAAGAATAGGATAAGAAAAAACATAATAACCACAGAATACTCACCTTCCATGGATAATTAAGTAGCTAGAATATCCTGCCATCAACGTTAAAAAGCGAGAACACAAGTGGACTCCAACATGGCCACCGGCCTTGAAGTTGTTAACGCTGGAACCAACCTCATTTACAACCCAGCAACCTCACTGCTGTATTCGAATGATCATATGAATATCGTTCTGTCAGGACACATACCCCAGTACTACCACGAATCTCAAAGCTTATTTCCGGTTCAAATAACCATCAGCACAGCAGACTCCACAATGTGTAGTGAAACATCATCTTTCCCAGAACCCCTAAACAGAATTTTCCAAGATTAGCTGGCAACTAACAAATCAACCAGCTAAATAAATTTGAGAATTTAAGCCTCTTTTTTTTTTCAACAAACTTGGGCAATCAAAATATGTAATCCAAAAAACAATCGGCTCCCATAATGTGAAGTACAGAGATATTTCATGACATCTGAAGGCAGAATCTATCTTTATAGCTATAAGTTTCACTAGCTTCATTGTGATCCAAAGTAAAGATGCATGACCTCATTCTCTAATCTTAATCTTCAATGCGGTCCTAATTTTTCTTTCATATTTCAGAAATAGGAAGCTCATTCAGCACAGTTTCTCCACCAGTACTCACAAGCAAATCAAACATGAGATTCACCAAAATTCTATACTTTTCATTGCTCAAAAGAAGAGTATAAAGGGGTAATGCTGTTATACCTTTGATTTCAAGCCATTCAAATTTGGGATTTCAAATAGATAATAAGCATCATAATAGCTTAACAGTATCAGATATTTCAATCAATTCATGGCAGCTCAAAGAACCAATTTCAAAAACCCATGTCTGATCACTGACCTCAGCATGTAGTAAACCAAAACCCATTGTCTAGTTCTGATTTGAACAACTTAAATTAACACAAAAAATGCCCTATCAGATTGAAGAAGATTTCAAGAATTCAAAGTAGCACTCCCTCATCTTTATTAGAGAGAGCACCACCTTATCTTTTACACTCGCCAAAATCACAGAACCGGAGAAAAAAATGGAGAGAAACCAAGCAGAGAAGGACAAAAAAAATTTGGACCATTTCTCGATTTGTGCGTGTCATCCTTGCGCAGGGGCCATGCTAATCTTCTCTGTATCGTTCCAATTTTATCGGATGTCCCCGAAGGGACGAGCACTGTTGTCTGCTTAGCTTACATAAACTTGCCAAATTCTCCAAAACCAGCCGATGTGGGTTTTGTGTAACTTTCATCACATTCAACTCTTGGGCTTCAGCATCATTAATTGGGCCAGTTTAATATTTGGGCCCAATCCCACTGTAACCTACTTTGAAAAGGCCATACATTGGACTCACAACTTTGGTTTCCTTTCAATTTTCTACAAAATTTCACCTCCTTCCTCTTTATATTCTTCTCCAGACCATGATAAAAACTTCAAGCTTGATAGTCCATGCTGGGCATAACTCATTAATTTGCTGCTATGTAGTCATTCAAATCGTTCATTTGTTTTTTGGCTGATATATCTTTTGCTATAGGGAGTAGTTAATTATAAAATATTTTATTGAATTATTGAAAATAAACTCTTTGATTTAATTTTAATACATAACTGGAGTAAACTAGCATGTCTATTTATTTAAATAAATTTTTTCTATCTTGCAAATAAATAAATATATATTTTTTTTGGAGAAATTAGTTATATTTAGGATTGTATATGAAAAGATTTTATAAGTTTGGATATATATCAAATATGAATATGGAAGGATAAAAACACCAAAGACCTAAAAAAACCTAAATTAAACTTTTTATTTCTAAATGAAAATAATGTAATCTCTAAAATTTTACTGTTCCTAAGCCCCTTCTTTGTGCTTCTAACTAAAATTTTCTTTCCTTTTTGGTTCCTATAATGTGATCTTTATTTTGTTTTGATCATTGAAGTTTTGTTATGTATGATTTTTGTCCCTACCTTATGCATAATGGGTTTTTAGGTTTTATTGTTCCTATGTTTTTGTTTTTGTTTTTGTTTGTTTGTTTTTTTTTTTTTTTTTTTGGTCATATGTGATCTTTATTTTGTTTTAGTCATTAAAATTTTATCATTTTACATCTATATAAAATCTCTACCATTTTATGTTTGCATCAAGTTAAAACAAAACTTTTTGGGTCTATTTACGTATTTCAATAACATATTTTTTCTCATTTTTTTTACACAATAATATATAATATTTGATCGTATCAAGACAAGCACACTATAAATAAAAAACAGATAGTGAAAACTATAACAATTCAAAATTCAAAAGTCTGCTACATTATTATTTTAATTGAGATCAACTATTATACATATATTATTATTTTAATTGTCAGTTTTTATACATGTTTGTAATAAAATGATTGATTGTATCAAGCAACATTAATTAGGAATATTATATATCTCAACATGGTAGGCTTTTTTTAAAAAAAAAAAATTGTTTTGCTTAGTCTTTTTAAATAATTATTTTGTACAGAATGTTTTTTATTGCAGTCATTGTTTGGTATATTTTTTTTCTAATTATTGTTTGATACAAAAAAAAAAAAAATCAATTTAAGACCTTTTATTTTGCATTCCTATAAATTAGATTTATCTAAAAGTTTTGAAATAATCTGTTTTTACACTGTTTTAAACTGTTTTATTACAACCTAGAACTCCTTATTTTATATGCTTGGGTACATGAAAATACTGTGTAATTGACATCGGGGCAACGCCCAAGATGCATGCTAAGTTTTTCTCTATTCATAGGCAAATGATGACAGAAGGAACAGCTTGCTCAGATCAAAATTTGACAAACTACTTTCTTTTATTCGATAGAGTACTATAGATCACAAAAATTGTTATTGCTGGAGTACAACATCTAAATGATTCATTATTTTAACGGTAGTATGGATAAGATCAAACCCAGATTTCTTTCATGGAAGAAAAATACCAGGCGTAGATGTAGAGTATGAGTATTATGACTATATGTATGAAATGAGGAGAGATTTTCCTGACTGCTTCTATGTCTTCACTTCAAGGAGTTCTCAATATCAATTACAAACCGGTACTTCACATCGTTCTTTATCATCCTCTCAAGAGCTTCATTTATGTACTCAATTGGAATTACTTCGATCTTGGGGTAAATTTTATTAGCAGCACAAAAGTCCAACATCTCTTGGGTCACTCTGGTTCCACCTGTTATGCTACCAGATACAGTTTTCCTACCTGCCGGAATGTTAGTTTGAGCAATTAATTTCGCTTGCAATTTTTGTTATCAATGGAAGACTATCAGAACATTCACGAAAAAAAAATTAAGTAAAAAGGTCTGGGGTAAATTACCAATTAGAAGGTTTGCAGGACTGAATTTCACTTCACTTGGGAATCCAACAAGAACAAAAACACCAGCAGTCTTCAAAAGAGACATGTATGGGTCAAATGGGTGATCGCCTGATGCTGTGTCGATTATGAAGTCAAGTGATTTGGATAAAGCCTGTGTAAAAATATCAAATATCAACAAAACATAGAAAGAGAGAAAGAAGCAATCGAATTTTCAATATATTGCTCATTTCATTAGATAAAAACTTGCTTTTGAGAAATTCTTGTCACTTTACCTTCATTTGCTCTTGATCAGATGTAATCACAAAATTGTCTGCACCGAGCACAGTCAAGGCTTCCTCCTTTTTCGATATGCTTGTGCTTAAAACAGTGACTTTCAATCCAAAAGCCTTACCAAACTTCACAGCCATGTGACCCAGACCACCGAGACCGATCACTCCAAGAGATTTACCAGGTTGGTTCATCTTATGTTGCTTCATGGGGTTGTACACAGTAATTCCAGCACAAAGCAGAGGTGCCGCTGAGGCCAGAGGATAATTATGAGGTATCTGAAAGCAGTACCTGTAGATTCAACACAAACAATGCAATGAAAGCTGGCTCATTTTCCTGAACATCAGATTAATTGGTCAACAACTTCATATTAACTCTAGAAATTACAAGCCTTAGTATTGAATTGCTTTCGTGGTGTTGGAGACCACGAGCATGCATTAGAGTACTATTTGATACTGAAGCGATAGGAAGGAGACTGAAGCAGGAAGCACTTGGTCAACATCCCCCCAAGCAGAGCTAGGCTCTGAGATGGGGCAAATCATCTGAATTTCATGGTCGCAAAGTAATAGCAAAGTCAACTTATTTATCATGGATAGTTCAGTTCAAAATTTCTTCATGTCCAACCAAACAAACAGAAAATATTAGAAGAAAGACCGAAATCACAAAGTACTTACCTTTCATGGACGACGATGTAGCTAGAATATCCACCCTTTGTGATCGAACCATCCACGTCAATGCCATTGAAAGTGAAAACGGATCCTTTTTCGCAACTGACTTCTTCCCTGTCATTGCAGTACTCACATTCTCTGCAAGAATTAACATAAGTGCCTACTCCAACATGGTCACCAACCTTGAAGTGGCGAACATTGGGACCAACGTCCTTTACAATTCCAACAATCTCATGCCTGTAAGCAAATAAACATAACTACATCAGTTTAATCAAACTATAAAATTAGTTCCATTATTGAAGATAGAGATACTATTCAATTAGGCCATATACCCGGGCACCAATGGATACCGCGAATCTCCAAGCTTATTCTTACTCCAAGCAACATCAGCATAGCAAACTCCACAATGAGTTATTTTTAGTGAAACATCATCATTTCCAAGAGCCCTGAATAGATTTAACTAGATTAACTTTAGCCAACAGATAAAAAGGCAAAAAGAATTTCTGGAAATACGGTCAATTTATTCTCGGTTATACCTCATAATATCGCAAAGCTGCAGAATTTGATCATTATTTTCAACAAACAACACAGAATCTATTGAATAAAGCAAACTTTTTTTGCTCAGTTCTTCTAGCTTATTTATAGTTGACAAAAGCACTATAAATCAATTAGAAGATTCTTATCGGAAAAATTAAGCTGTAAATTACAACCACTTGTATAAACATTGCATATAAAAACCGAACTCCACTTTCAAGGAAAAAACACAATTATCTAACTTGACATTGTTTAATAAGCAAATGCATCAATCAATATACCTGCGACTAAACTGGTAAGGCGATAAAACTCCAGATGGGTCTCTCGCCGCCCATGCAAGACAGTCCTCTTTAACACTCTCGGAGCTCATTGCTAAGTAAAAACCAAACCACCATTAAGCAATAAAAATTGTCAACATTGTATACATCATTACCTGATCAGTAGCATCTAGAGACATTCATAAACTTTACAATAAATTAAAAATAAAACAAAGAAAGATTTGAAAAGTTTATCATGGAACTTGTCTGTAGATTTGATGATGACTAATGCTTTTAAACAGACAGCAACTTATGAATCTAAGATGGGATTGACAGATTGAAAGTTTGAGTAAATTTAGATAAAAGGGAAATCAAATTTAATGTCACATATAAACAGTAAATTCAAATAAATTAGTACTAAATATCAAATTGAAAGAAGATCAGAGTGTCGTTTGTTATTACCAGTAAGCAGTTGAGAAACAAGAAACAAGGTGGTGCTGGAAAGATATGTATGGATGAGCTGGGACTCTTATACCAGTAATAATGAGTAAATTATAAATTAGTCCCTCTAGTTTTGAGGAAAAAATTAAATAGTTCTCTTTGTTTCAAAAACTATTTATTTAATTATTTTTATTCATTTTATGTTATTTTCTAATTTGATTTTTTATAAAAAAGAAAAAAAGCAATTGAAAAAACCAACCAATTTGAAGACTCCAAAATTCGACAAGTATGTTAGAACGGGATGTTTTAAAAACCATCTAGCCATGTATACACGAAAGATCATATATGTGTGTGTAATTTTTTTGCAAAATTTCCTCTTATGATATCACCAAAAAAATCCATTCTTTGGATTTTTTTATTTCGACAAAGAAATAATTAATAAATGCATATTTAAATAAATATGATAGAAAGGTTGATAAAAAAATATATTTTTTAAATTAAAATTATATTTATATGTGACTAAATAATTAGTTTTTTAAATAAAAGGATCTAATCAATTCATTTCTTAAACTTAAAAGGACTAATTTATAATTTACTCCATTAACAATGCAGGTGGAAGCGGGTGCATCGACGAGGTTGAGCCAGGTTTTGCTATGCATGGACGTCACCATAATATCTTACCAAAGCACGCACGTCATAGCTCACGAAGATTCCATTTTCCAGCTTTCATTATGACTAAATTATTTAGGACCCGTTGCATCAAGTTGCACCAGTCTTTGATTAAGCTAAAGTATGACTTGAGATAGAGATGTTTTTAAATCTTAAAAGCCTTCAAAGCCGTCACAATAGAAAAAATTATCATAATCACAATCACAATTTATTTGATCAAAACTTTAAATAATATATATTTTTTAAAATATTCACATTAATAAAGAAAATCAATTCTTTATTCTATCTTTCTATTCTTTATCAATAAAAAATCAATATTTTTTATAATTTTTCTTTATACATATAAATGCATTTAACATAAAAATTTAAAATGAAATTTTTTTTACATGAAAAATATTTATTCTTATAAGGATTTTGCTGCATATCAAAATCTTAAGAGTAATATATTTTTATTAGTATATTATTTGTCATAATTATTTTAAACCCGATTGGTAATTGATTTAATAATTTTTTATTTTTTTATTTGCCACCTTAATTTTGGATGTATTTTCTCATTGAATTTGATAACTAATAATTTTAACAAAAATAATACTTTAAGAAGTATGAATACAAAATATTGAGAGTATAATAATTAACAATTTTTTTTAAATTGTCTAAAAAATAATCGAAGGATGCAATCTTACACCAAGGGAGCATATGTCAAGTTAAAAGAACTTGAATCTAGACATTAACTAAATAAACTAAAACAAAATGTTAGTTTACCGTTCCAAATATTATTCATATACTAATATTTCACTATTCATTGATTTTTTTATACTTTGATCCTTGATATTTGTCAATTAATATTTCGATCCATATCTTCATTTGCTCATCCATTTTGGTCCCTGGATGAGAAAGAAGGGAGGGGGAAGAGAGAGACTGGAGGAGAGAGAGAGATATCGCCGGCCAAGCTTATTTAGGTCACTTTGGTTGACGAAAATTCACTAGATTTTTTATCTTTGAGAGATGAGTTTGTCCATTATTATTTCAAGCCATTAAACAATTAGAGAAGATATATCGAAGTCAAAAAAGGAAACAATGTTTCGATTTGATTGTGTAAGTTTTTTTTTTTTTTTTGCATTAAAATGATTTTTAGGGTTTTAGATATGCTTATTGGCTTTATTCCGATCATTTAAATGTATTTGAAAAAAAAAAAAAAACGATGTTGGAATTTAATTTCTAGGGGTCTAAAACTTGATCCCCGATTTTTCGATGAGCTCGATTCGTCCGAAGTTGCGGACCTTTTTTTTTTTTTTTGGGTCTTGAGCAATAGCCCGACCTCGACGAGCGAGCCTAACCGGCTCCCGACACGCAGTGCCTCGTGCGGGGCTTTTTTTTTTCTTTTTTTCTTTTTTTCCCTTTTCTCCTATTTCGGCTTAGGAAATGGTTTTTTATTTTGGTCCCTTCTTTCCATGTTTTTTTCTCTTTTGGTCATTAAACTTTTCTTCTCTTTGATTTTTATCCCTATCGAAATATTAAAATTTTATTATATGTGAATTTTTATCCTTATAATAATTTTTTTTTTGAACTTTTAGTAAAAATTTATGTTCTTTTTTTGTTTCTATTTTTTAATATGTTTTTATTTTAGTCATTAAAGTTTTCTCATATTTGATTTTTATCCTTGCTATACCGAAACTAAATAATGTCTACTAGCCTAAGGTTGTTTTTTTTTTTTTATCATCAATTTTTTCCCTACGAGGAACTATTTTTTACTTTTAGTAAAACTTTTTGTTATATTTTGGTTTTTGTTTTATGATCTTTCATTTATTTTGATCATTAAAATTTTATTATATTTAATTATTATTCATTTTACATGAAAATTAAATACATTTTAACTATGCTAATTTTTTTTTTAGTGAAAAAATTTTTATCTTTTGATTCTTATTTTATTAATTTTTTTTTTTATTTTGGTCATTAAAATTCTATAATGTTTACTTTTGTTCATGCCTTATGCATAATGAAATTTTTTTAATCTTATTGTTTATAGGTATTTTTTTTATGCTTTTAGTGAAGGTTTTTATTTATTTATTTTTATCGTTTTTATGATCTTTACTTTGTTTTAATCATTTAATTTTTATCGTGCATAATTTTATCTCCATTTTCTTTTTCAAATTCTTGATTTGACAAAGCTTTTTTGTCTTTTTGTTTTGATTGTCTCTCTGTCTCATTAACAAATTAAAAATGAATAATACATAGTAAAAATTAATCATAGAAAATTCAAAAAACTACCACATTATTATTTTAATTATCGAGTTACTAACAATGTTTATATCAAACAATAGCTAATTACCAATATTATATTATTTAATTTTATAGACTTTTCATTTAACTAACCTTGCGACAAATTATGAAATATATGTTTTAGCTTTTTTTATTTAATTATTTTCACATGTTATTGTTAAATAATGATTTATAAATGCTAAATTTTATATGAATGAATGTATAAAAATATTATATAACTCATCCCGTGACGACGTGTGAGATATATGCTAGTTTTTTTCTATGCTGAATCAAATCTTTGCCATTGAATCGATTTCTAACTTTGCTGCTGGACAATTGTGATTAGACAGATCGGGCCAATTGTAGATCCTTGGGCCAAGTTCTACTAACTTACAACCTTCATCCGGCCATGTAGAACTAATTGGTTCCCGGAATCTTATGGGCTAGTCATGGCCCATTATGCAATTCAGAATACAAACATCATTGGGCCTGCATGGAGAAAAGGTCTCCCTCCATTATCATAGTTTAATATGCTAGAAAAGTTAGGAATTGGACATTTTAATCCAAAATCACAGAACCATAAATCTGGCATGATGGCGAATATTGAAAGGTTATATTATAGCAAACAAACTTTGGTTTGTCATATTTAAGTTTCAAAACTTAAACATGCTGCATATACATCCTTCAGGATAGTAAAAATCATGGAACCATGAGACATTTAAAAGATCATGACAACAGATGGGAATGAGGATGCAGCATAGAAAGGTCTATATATACATTAACAAATTGGTGAAGAACAATAACAATAGGTAGGGCAAGCTGCTTGTTCGGACCCATCTGTTCAAGTAGAGCCCTAGACCACAAGAAAGAATTAGCACATGGCTCGTTCCTCATAATCGTTCCTCAATTCAATGATGTTCATTTCCAGGAAGTATTTGTGTTGCTTTTTCCTCTTTATTGTAGGCTTCTCAGTCTGCACATTCAGTTCCTGGAACCTTTCTTATCGGTCAGGTTGTGGTTCTTCAGGTAAAGTCCAAAGCAGAAAGTTGTTTCTGGAACCAACATGGCTGCAGAACAGCTTTAGCATCGGCCCCCAATTCATCCATTTGAGCATCATTTTCAAAGAGCTTTGTTATTAAATCCACAAATATTATTGCCCTGTTATGAAGCAGCAAGTAGAAAGAGGAGATAAATAGATGCAGAAAATCTGAAAATCTGATTAGGATCCAACTCTCCATCATTAACTTAGCCTGAATGTCACTAATAAAGAATGATGTCCTCTTATAAGCCCTAGTGATAGTACAGGAAAATATTTAATGCACGGACATAATGTATTCAAGATAAATAACATGAAGAAACTTGCTTTGTTTGCAGTACTCCCGAGGAAGCTTATCTCAATATTTTGACCAGCAAACAAAGTGCAGCAATGGTCCCCTGAATGGAAGCATTTTATGAACATCAAATCTAAACCAAAACCCATATTTTTCAGGTGATTAGATTAACAAATTTGTATCCATAGTGACTCATATTCATAAGATTAGATCAATATCCAGAGTGCATATTATTTGGTTAAACATAAATTTGCAAGGGCAATAAGAACACACTTTGTCACTAATACCAAGAAATTGATACCTTTATCATTCAGAGTATCCTTCTTAACGACCAAATCTTTTAGCATCCTATTAAAAATATGGCCAAGGAATGTGTAATACTTGATAGTAATATTAGTAACATAAGTCACAAGCATCAGAAGAGAAACAAAGATCAACTCTTCAATATTTCATAAACTACTCGCTTGTTTTGGATTGCGCATGGATAACAAAACCTTTTCGACTTACTCACAAAGTAGCATAACAGATTAAGCAATTTAATTCGATTGCTTAAACAACAGCCTTGCATTGGAGACCAAACCCATGTCAATCATCCTCTACGTATAACAAGACTGCATGCATGAATTGAGAAGATATTTACCTGCTTGCCTCTATAGTGTTCGCTTCAAGGAGTTGGCAGCAATGCATCAATTATAAATCGGTAATTCACGTCATTCTTTAACAACCTCTCAGGAGCTTCATTTATGTACTGAATCAGAATTATTTATATCTTAGGTTAAATTTATGACCCTCTCAAAAAAAACTCCAAATTCTTCAGTGATCAGGCACCACCTCTTATGCACTTATACTACCGGATACGGTTTCTCTACCTGCCAGAATGTTAATGCAATTTGTAGCACTAGGTAATAGTTTTCTGACAAACAAAACTACCATTAACCAACAGAAGAGCCAGGGAAAAACTTTAAGATGAAAAATCAGTCAATAACTTGCTATTGTAAATACAAATAAGAAGGTTTGCCGGACTGAATTTGACCTCACTTGGGACCCCAACAAGAACAAGAACACCAGCAGTCTTCAAAAGCAACAGGTATGGATCAAATGGATTATCACCAGATGCTGTGTACATTATAAAGTCCAGTCGTTTAGACAAGGCCTGCAAAATAAGGCAAAATGAAAGGAGGAACCATAATGTTTAGTATTGCCTATCTCATTAGAGAAAAAATTCATGTAACTTTACCTTCATTTGCTCTTGATCAGATGTAACCACAGAATTGTCTACAAGAAGCAAACTCAAGGTTTTCTAGTGCTTAAAACTGTAACTTCCAATCCAAAAGCCTTCCCAAACTTCATGGCCTAGTGTCCCAGACACCAGGCCAATCACTCATAGAGATTTACCAGGTTGGTTCATCTTATGCTGCATCACAGGATTCTACATTGTAATTACAGCACAAAGCAGATGTGATAATCATCAGGTATAAAAAACAAGTACCAGTAGATTGAACACAAACAATTAAGTGAAAGATAGCTTGACACTTCCTGATCCCAAAGAATAGGATAAGAAAAAACATAATAACCACAGAACACTCATCTTTCGTGGATGATAAAGTAGCTAGAATATCCTCCGTTTGTGATTGTGCCATCAACATTAAAAGTGAAAACGCAAGTGTACTCCAACCTGGCCACTGGCCTTGAAATCGTTATCGTTGGAACCAACCTCATTTGCAGTCTGACAACCTGACCACTGTATTCCAATGATCATATAAGGATATCGTTCAGCCAGGAACACATACCCCAGTACTACCACAAATCTGAAAACTTATTCCTAGTCCAAATAACCATCAGCACAGCAGACTCCACAATGCGTAGTGAAACATCATCTTTCCCAAAAGACCTAGACAGAATTTTCCAAGATTATCTGACAACTAACAAATCAACCAGCTAAATAAATAGGAATTTATGCCAACTTTTTCTTGCTTATATTTTTCAAAAAACTTGGGCAATCAATATATGTACTCCATAAAACACTCGGCTCCCGCAATGCAAAGCACAGAAATATTTCATGACATTTTAATGCAGAATATGTCTTTATACCTATAAGTTCCACTAGCTTCATTGTGATCCAATGCAAAGATGCATGACCTCATTCTCGATTCTTCATCTTCAATGTGGTCCTAATTTTTCTTTAATATTTCAAATCTGAGGGAAATATGTAGCTCATTCAGCACAGTTTCTCCACCACTACTCACAGGCAAATCAAACATCAGATTCACTAAAATTCTGTACTTTTCAGCTAAAATGAAGGGTACAAAGAGTAATACTGTTATACCTTTGATTTCAGGCCATTCGAATTTGGAATTTCAAATACATAATAAGCATCATAATAGCGTAACAGTATCAGATATTTCAAACCACTCATGGCCGTTGAAAGAAAAAAATTGAAAAACCCACGTCTGAACACTGACCTAAGCATGTAGCAAACCAAAACCCATTATCTAGTTCTGATTTGAACAACTTAAATTAACACAAAACATGTCCTATGAGATTGAAGAAGTTTTCAAGAATTCAAAATAGCAATCCCTCACCTTTAACAGAGAGAGCACCTCCTTATCTTTTACACTCCCGTAAATCACAGAACCGGAAAAAAAAAATATTGGAGAGAAACCCATATAGAGAGAGGAGCCATGGAAGCAGAGAAGGACAAAAAAATTTGGACCATTTCTCGATTTGTGCGTGTCATCCTTGCGCAGGGGCCATGCTAATCTTCTCTGTATCGTTCCAATTTTATCGGATGTCCCCGAAGGGACGAGCTTCGGTCTCTTCTTTGCTTATATAAACCGTTGTAACTTCTCTCAAACCAGCCGATGTGGGATTCTGTAATATTCATTACATCAGACACCTGGGCCGAATTGGGCCTAATCTACCTGTAACCCACTTTGAAAAGGCCATATATTGGAGTCACGATTTTGGTTTCCTTTCAATTTTCTACAAATTTTCTCCTCCTTCCAACTTATATTATTCTCCTACCATTGGTGATTTTCTTGGCTTTGAAGTTTAAAACCAAAGCATTAATTTCAAACTCATGAATTATCTACTACTTGATGCAAAAATTGAAGAAATTTTTCTTTGACATTTTGCTAATAGTGTCCATATGTTGAGGCATATATAACAGACCCTGTTAAATTGCTCAAATAAAAACCTTAATTTCTTAGGGAGATAGCCCTTGTTGTGCATCCTTGATGGTACAATTTCTAAACCATGATAAGAACTTCAAGGTTGCTTGAAATGTATGGCCAAGCTTCCCCTGTCGGTCAAGCTCTGGAGTCTGTAGTCTTTTAAGTTAATAGCTATCCACCTTCAAGTTTTCCTATAATACTGAGAACACAGGCGTGCTAAAGAAAACTGGTTCTGCACTTATTCTGACTAGCAATATTGCATGGAGTGCGTCCCTAATTCTCCAGGTAATCATCTGTTTTATTTGAAGTAGATATGTTCTTTAAGGTTTTGCTAATAATTCTGTCCTACCCACTCTGGCTGTGGTTTACAGAGTCTATCCAGCTCGTTTATCCCTGAACACTTTGATTTGCTTCTTCGCGTCAGTCCAATCTTCTTTCATTGCCCTGTTTTTTGCAAGGAATCCTGCAATATGGAAGTTGGAGTGGAATGTGCAGCTCCTGACCATTATATACTGTGCAAGTAATTTCTGCATAACTCACTAATTTGCTGCTATTTAGTCGTTCAAATCGTTCATATGTTTTTTGCTGATATAGCTTTTGCTATATGGAGTAGTGATCGCAGCATTAGTCTACTACCTGCAAACATGGTGTATTAGTCACAACGGGCCAGTTTTTGCAGCAATGTTTACTCCACAACAAGTTGTCATCTTCGGAATATTCGCAGCAATTGCTTTTGCAGAAGGACTTCATTTGGGAAGGTGAGCTATTAGATGCTTGTCTTCTAACAATTCAGACCCTTAATTCTCCCTGTACCTCTACCATTATTTGTATCCTGGTATAGATTTTAAAGGTCATGACTTTTCACTGGGTTTGGCACTTGACGTTTCCTAGCATAATAGGAACAGGTCTTATTGTTGTTGGCCTTTATTGTACTGTGGGGCAAAAGGCAGGACAATACTGCTGCTGAGCAGCGTGATGAAGGATAAGGCATAGCCGATGAGAGAACATTGGAGATTTCCATAGTGACTTCGAAGATTCAGACGTACCTGGAAGAACTCAAACACAAGGTTGTCAGCTATTATCACAGTGACTTCGACGTCCCAGTGGTCTGTTGTATTTGAACAAACTTCCATGAAACGCATATTTTTATCTATTTATAGACAAAATGATGACAAAAGGAACAGCTTGCTTATGGCTGACAAGGGATCCTCTAACCACAATGACTTGTTAGTTGTAGACTTGTTGTTAATGCCCTCTGGCCTCATCCATTTACCTGCTAATAGTAATGTTGCTGTGAATGGACTACTATCTAGCTCCAGAATACTACTTTATGCACCGTTTTTTTTTTTTTTTTTCAAACATAACATCACATTGCATTTGGGTTCTTTATGATCAGCAGCTTTTCAAACCAGCTATATCAGAAAATATTGAAAAAGAAATGCATAGGCATTTTAGTCAACAGTATGTTAGTAGAGGTTGGAGATTATTTGCTCGTATCAAAATTTAACAAACTACTGTCTTTTATTGGGTAGAGTGCTATACGTAACCAAGCTATAGATAATAAAAAATTGTTATTGCTGGAGTACAACATCTAGATGATTCATTATTTTAACAGTAGCATGGATAAGATCAAACCCAAATTTCTTTCATAGAAGAAAAACACCCAGCATAGAGTATGCGTATTATGAAAGTATGTCTGAAATGAGAAGAGATTTTCCTGACTGCTTCAATGTCCTCACTTCAAGGAGTTCTCAATATCAATTACAAACCGGTACTTCACATCATTCTTTATCATCCTCTCAAGAGCTTCATTTATGTACTGAATTGGAATTACTTCTATCTTGGGGTAAATTTTATTAGCAGCACAAAAGTCCAACATCTCTTGGGTCACTCTGGTTCCACCTGTTATGCTACCAGATACAGTTTTCCTACCTGCCAGAATGTTAGTTCGAGCAATTAATTTCGCTTGCAATTTTTTTATCAATGGAAGGCTATCAGAACATTCACGAATAAAAAAATTCTAGAGTAAATTACCAAAAATAAGGCTTGCAGGACTGAGTTTCACTGCACTTGGGAATCCAACAAGAACAAAAACACCAGCAGTCTTCAAAAGAGACATGTAGGGATCAAATGGGTGATCACCAGATGCTGTGTCGATTATAAAGTCAAGTGATTTGGATAAAGCCTGTGCAAAAATATCAAATATGAACAAAACAAAGAAAGAAAGAAGCAATCGAACTTTCAATATATTGCTCATGTCATTACATTTGAGAAATTCTTGCCACTTTACCTTCATCTGCTCTTGATCAGATGTAATCACAAAATTGTCTGCACCAAGCACAGTCAAGGCTTCCTCCTTTTTCGATATGCTCGTGCTTAAAACAGTGACTTTCAATCCAAAAGCCTTACCAAACTTCACAGCCATGTGACCCAGACCACCGAGACCAATCACTCCAAGAGATTTACCAGGTTGGTTCATCTTATGTCGCACCATGGGGTTGTACACAGTAATTCCAGCACAAAGCAGAGGTGCTGCTGAGGCCAAAGGATAATCATGAGGTATCTGAAAGCAGTACCTGTAGATTCAACACAAACAATGCAGTGACAGCTGGCTAATTTCCTGAACAAGAGATTAATTGGTGAACAGCATCATATTAACTCTAGAAATTAGAAGCCTTAGTATTGAATTTCTTTAGTGGTGTTAGAGACCACAAGCATGCATTAGATTACTATTTGATACTGGAGATAGGAAGCAGAGTGAAGCAGGAAGCATTGGTCAACAATCCCCCTTCCCCCACCAATCCCTCCCCCCACCCCAAAACCAAAAGCAGAGCTAGGCTCTGAGATAGGGCAAATCATCAGAATTTCATGATCACAAAGCAGCAGCAAAGTCAACTTATTTTTCATGGTTAGTTCAGTTCAAAATTTCTTCATGTCCAACAAAACAAACAGAAAATATAAGAACAAAGACAGAAATCACAAAGTACTTACCTTTCATGGACGACAATGTAGCCAGAATATCCACCCTTTGTGATCGAACCATCTGCGTCAATGCCATTGAAAGTGAGAACAGATCCTCTTTCGCAACTGACTTCTTCCCTGTCGTTGCAGTACTCACATTCTCTGCAAGAATTAACATAAGTGCCTACTCCAACATGGTCACCAACCTTGAAGTTGTAAACATTGGCACCAACGTCCTTTACAATTCCAACAATCTCATGTCTGTAAGCAAATAAACATAACTACATCAATTTAATCAAACTATAAAACTAGTTCTATCATTAAAGTTAGTGATATTATTCAATTAGGCTACATACCCGGGCACCAATGGATACCGTGAATCACCATGCTTATTCTTACTCCAAAGAACATCAGCATAGCAAACTCCACAATGAGTTATTTTTAGCGAAACATCATCATTTCCAAGAGCCCTGAATAGATTTAACCAGATTACCTTCAGCCAACAGATAAAAAGGCATAAAGAATTCCAGAAATAAGGTCAATTTATTCTTGGTTATATCTCGCAATATCGCGAAGCTACAGAATTTGATCATTGTTTTCAACAAACAACACAGAATCTATTGAATAAAGCAAACAGTTTTTTCCCCAGCTCTTCTAGCTTATTTATAGTTGACAAAAGCTCTATAAATCAATCAAAAAATTCTTATCGGAAACCTTAAGCTGTAAATTGCAACCATTTGTATAAACATTGCATATAAAAACCGAGCTCAACTTTCAAGGAAAAAGACGACTCTCTAAATTGACAGTGTTGAATAAGCAAAAGCATCAATCAATATACCTGCGACTAAACTGGTAAGGCGATAAAACTCCAGATGGGTCTCTCGCCGCCCATGCAAGACAGTCCTCTTTAACACTCTCAGAGCTCATTGCTAAGTAAAAACAAAACTAAAATGATTTTGAAAGCTTCTTGGTATTTCTTTACTTATAGTACATTGAGAGTATATATATACACACACAGACACACACTGAGAGAGTAGGGTTTTAAAGAAAACGAAGGTTGTACAAATCGAATCAGGCCCTTACGATGCGTATTTTTTACCAGTTGTCGTTGACCCTAAAGTATGGCGTAGAATCATACATATAACCTAGTGGTCATTAAAATATAGCGTAGAATCATGTTAACACGTCCTCAAACTCAACGTGGCAGTGTAGATGCCAACTTGAGTTTGTTTAATAAGTCGTGGAAGCTACTCGGAGGATGAGTCTTGGTGAAAATATACCCTACACATTATTGTTAGCAATTTGTAGCACTTAAATTGTCGCAAGGAAGAACTGTGGCAGATGAATGGCCAAAAATCAAAAAAGAAGCCGCGCACCCGACTCGTTTTTAAACCCGACCAGACCACCATTTTTCGATCAAATCGACAGCTGCCATCTCCCTAAAAACATTCCTCGTCCTCTTAAAGGCCGATCCCACTCAAAATGCCAACCAAAACTCACCGAAATCAACCCAATCGAAGGAGAATCCAAATCTCAACCCATTTGTGAAACCTATTTTTATTGTCTAATCTATACCAAATCGAACCATCAAACTACCGAGAACAACTCCCTAGAGTCTTTCTGAGTTGATCGGTACCCTCTCTTTTCCTCGACATGGTCGAAATCACGATCGAGTGAGTTGGTCGTTTTGACAGTCGTCGACGACTGTCATTCTCCCTTCTCCTGTTAGTCGTGTGTGACATAGCCTTTGCTAGAGGAACGAAGAGGTTCAGTCGTTCCTTCCCTGACCAACGACGCACTAAAAGGAGGGTAGTTTGGTAATTTTAGCAGGCACGAGCTGTACGTACGCCAGCACTGCCCATTTCTTAGATTCTCACAAAGGGTATCTTGGTCATTTCAAAATAGACCAGGAGCGTTTTGGTTAGTTCACAATGACCTTTCCCTGTGTTTGGATAATTCCTCTTGGGAGGAAAGAAAAGAGAGGAAAGAAAATGAGAGAAAAGAAAAAAAGGAGGAAAGAAAATCATTTTTCATTTGTCGTTTGGATAAGAGTGGAAAGGAAAAGAAAGAAAATACATTTCCTTTGTTTGGAAGAGGAAGGAAAGAAAATGTATGATTGTATATTTACTATAATACCCTTATGATTATATTTATATATTTAAATACTTATAATAAATTTGTATGAATATTTTGGTTATGAAAATAACACAAATGATGATAAAAAAAAATAGTACTTTCTCCTAACATATCGTCTTTATGTTGATCAATATTTCAAGAACTATTATTGTCAATGACAATTGGAACTTCCAAAGATGAGTGATCTAATATAAACATATAGAGTAAAGTATAAATTAATTCTTCTAGTTTTGATAAAAGAATTAATTAGTCATTTTTATTTCAAAAACTAATCATTTAATCTTTTTATTCATTTTATGCTCTTTTCTAATTTTTTTTTTTAAATGTTACTATGAAAAGATTGTAGAAAAAATTAAAATAAAATAATATTAAATTATGCACGATTAACACTAATTAAAAAAATTAAATGATTATTTTTTTAAAGGACTAATTAATTGATCTTTTTTAAATAGAAGGACTAATTTATTATTTACTCGAAATCCATATGGAATTTTGCCGAAAGACAAAAAAGCAAAAGTCCAAAAAGAAACCAACTTAATTACCAAATTGCCACTCACTAATATCTCTATTTATCTTTTATCCACGTCTGCCGTTATGTCCCTCTCTTTCTTTCCTCTCCCACGTACTTTCCCTCTCTCTCTCTCCACCCTTTAATCTCTGCATAGAGATTTACAGAGGCAGAGGCGAGAGGGCTGAGCAATGGCAGGGAACGGCGGCAATGGCGGAACATGAGTTTCCTTCCGTTTTGCAGAGAGAAGGAGAGAAGGAGTGGAGTTGCAGAAGTTCGATTATGGCTGTTGGTAAGCGAGCGAGAGAAAGAGTGCAGGGAAGAGGAAGAGAAGGGATGGCCGCCAAGGGTGAAACTGGAAGAACTGCGTTTCCTTCCGTTTTTCTCCCCATTTCCTCCCAATTTTGGGAGGAAAATGGGTCCCACCTCTTTTAGTATTGTTTAATATTTTTTTTCTTTCCTCGGTTTTCTTCGCAAACCAAACGGGGAAACCTTTTCTTTCCTCCCTATTTTCTTTCCTCTCCCTCACTTTCTACCCTATCCAAACAGAGGGTTCGGCATTTTAACGAGCAACCATTTTTTTTTTCGGTCGACTAAATAATCATTCTTCATCGGAGTTAAAAAAGGTGGAACTAACAATAGAACTTTTAGCAAACTCCACATCTTTCGACAATTATTTTGGGTAACTTTCATAAATAAAGGTGTAAATATGTAATTATTTTTGGATGAGTGAGATTAAAAATGCATATTTGATTATGTTGTTAATGTTTGAAGTGTGATTAGATACATCGTTGAGTATTGAATCTAAAAAGGTTGAAGAACTTAGGTATTTTGAGGAGTAATAAGATTGATAATCAATACTCGTGATGAAATTAGGAGTATGATTTGGGTTTTAATTTTAGGGTTGGTCATGGTGTTCACACTTGAAAATGATTTTGTGTTTGTTTTGGATGATATGATTGATCCAATGTGCTAATTGTGATGTTTATTTTCAAAACATGATGTGATCTACTTATTGTTGAACTCGAAGTCGTCGGTGGCTTCATACTTGTGCGAACGAAGCTATCGGTCGCTTTTAGATATTTGAAATGACTTGCAAATGATTTGTGATAGGAATGTAGTCGTAAGGAACTTGTCATTTTTATTTTATTTGAATGATTTTTTATATGGATCGAAGGCACAAGGGACTCGTGATTTTTATTTCATTTGAATGATTTCTAATATAGGCTACAATCATAAAGAACTCGTCATTTTTTATTTTATTTGAATGAGTTCGATATGGACTATAATCGTAAGAAACTCGTCATTTCTATTTTATTTGAATGATTTCTTATATGGGTTGCAATGGCAAGGACTGGCCATTTTTATTTTATTTGAATGATTTTTTATATGGGTTGCAATTGCAAGGGATTTGCTATTTTTATTTTATGTGAATGATTTTTTATATAGGCTTCGAGTTACAAAGGAGTCGTCATGTTTTATTTTATTTGAATGATTTATGATATAGGTTGTAGCCACATGGAACTCACTATTTTTATTTTATTTGAATGATTTTTTGTATGGGCTATAGTCACAAAGGATTGACTATTTTCATTTTATTTGAATGATTTTATATTTTTTGTGAATTAGAGTTGTCGACGGCTTTCTAGTTGTATGGACTAAGTCGTCGACCCCTATCTCTCTAATTGCGTGAATCAAATTATCGATGACTTTCTATTTATATGAATGAAATTGTCGGTAGTCTTTTAATTATGTCAATATGGGCTTACAATTCTTAGAGACTCGTCTATTTGTCGATATAAGTTTACAATCCTAAAACTAAAATGATTAATTTATAATTTACGTTAGTAAGAATCTTGATGGAAGTGGATGCATTGATGAGGTTTAGCCAATTTTGGCAAGCGATAGACATCGGATGATATCTTACCAAAGCGATGAGTCATATTTCATGACGATTCCATTTTCCAACTTTCATTATGACTACATGGTTTGGGATTTTTTACCTTAACTTACATAGTCCGTGATTATGCTAAAGTAGACCTTTTCAAATATTAAAAGTCTTTAATAGCATAATTAAAGAAAAAAACCCGTTTGAGATCATAATCACATGGTTTATCACAATAATTGATGTTATGGATATATTAATAGGTTTTTAATAAATTTATTCTAATTTACATATTTTTAATAATTTTATTAATTAAATATACTAATAACATCTTAAAGGTAGACTATAATGATTTTGATTTTTCTTAAGTATAATGTCATTATATAAAAGAAATTACAATGTAATACCGTTATTCGTTGTTATTCATGTAAAATTGTAATAGAGTTTCTATAGCGTTGAATAACGATGAATCTAAAATCTTTATTTAATAATCTTTATGCTACATAATGACGAGTTATTATAATTTATTTTTAACACTAATCTAGCCTTTATAAACTAAGATTCTTTTTAAATATTTAAATCTCATGAGTTGTAAATTTGATTTGGTAAGATCCTAGCAGACATAAGTCAAGATTTTAAAAAATTTTTAAATATGATGAGTTGTAAATTTGATTTGGTAAGATCCTACCAGACGGACATGCTTTGATTAGAAGCTAAATATGACCAATCACGCACGTTCATGGAGATTATGTGGTTGTGCGTGGATTGTCTTTGAACTTTACAACCAATCTTTCATAATTCCATGGTTTGAGATTAGATTTGGTAAGTCATATCTATTTTTGGATTCATCTTGTTTTACATATGTTAAGTCAAAAGAAGAACTTGAATCTAAGACATTTTTTATATGTTGAGTCAAATCTTTGCCGTGGAATTGATTTCTAACTTTTGCTTGGGCAATTGTGATTAGACAGATCGGGCCAATAATAGGTCCTTGGGCCAAGTTCTACAGAAATGCATACCTTCATCCGGCCATGCAGAATCGATTGCTTCCCGGAACCTTATGGGCTAGTCATGGTCCATTATCCAATGCACAATAGAAACCTTTTCAAGCCTGCATGAAGAGAAGGTCTCACTCCATTATATTAAAGTTTCATACGCTAGAAAAGTTAGGAATTGGACATTTTAATCCAAAATATGACAAACTTTGGCTTGTCATGTTTAAGTTTCAAAAATTAAAACATGTTGCATATGCATCCTTCAGCATCGTAAAAATCATGGAACCAGGAGCTATTTAAAAGATAATGACAGCAGATGGGAATGAGGATGCAGCATAGAAAGGTCTAAATACATTAGCAAATTGGTGATGAACAATCACAACAGTTACGAGATGCTTGTTAAGACCCATATGTTCAACTGGAGCCCTAGACCACAAGAAAGAGTTAGCACATGGGTTCCTCATAATCATTCGTCGATTCGATGATGGTCACTTCTAGGCAGTATTTCTGTTGCTTTTTCCTTTTTATTGAAGGCTTCTCAGTCTGCACATTCAGTACCTGGAACCGCTTGATTGGTCAGGTTGTCGATCTTCAGGTAAAGTCCAAGGCAGAAAGTTGTTGCTGGAACCAACATGGCTGCAGAACAGCTTTAGCATCTTCCCTCATTTCATCAATTTGAGCATCCTTTTTCAAAGAGTTTCGCTGTTCAATCCACAAATATTATTGTCCTGTTATGAAGCAGCAAATAGAAAGAGGAGATAAATAGATGCAGAAAATCTGATTGGGATCCAACTCTCGAGCAGCAATTTAGCCTGAATGTCACTGATAAAGAATGATGTCCTCTTATAAGCACTAGTAATAGCACAGGAAAATTTTTAATGCACGGACATAATGCATTGAAGATAAATAAAATGAAGAAACTTGCTTTGTTTACAGTATTTCCTAGGAAACTTATCTCAATATTTTGATCGGCAAACAAAGTGCAACAATGGTCCCATGAATGGAAGCTTTTTATGAACATCAAATCTAACCAAAAAACCATATTTTTCAGGTGACTAGGTTAACAAATTTGCATGCATAGTAACTCTTATTCATGAGATTAGATCAATGTCCAGTGAGAATATTATTTACTTAAACATAAATTTGCAAGGGCAATGTGCCAAGAAACTTATCCCTTATCCTTCGAAGTATCCCTCTTAATGATTAAAATCTTTTAGCATCCTATTAAAAATCTGGCCAAGGAACATGCAATTTCTATTTAATTGCTTTAACAATAGTATGAAGTAGGAGACCAAACCCATATCCATCATCATCTACGTATAACAAGACCATGGATGAATTGAGAAGATAGTACCTACTTCCCTCTATGGTGTTCACTTCAAGGAGTTGGCAGCAACGTTTCACGTCATTCATTATCATCCTCTCAGGAGCTTCACTTATGTAACGAGTCAGAATTATTTATATCTTATGTTAAACTTATGACCCTCAGGAAAAAATTGCAAATTCTTCGGTATTAGGGTACCATCTCTTGGTGCTATCTAATGTCGGACAGAACTCTAAAAAAATCCGGGTTTTCAAAAATTATTTGCATCACATTATTGAGTTATTTTGAGAATGTGAATTATTATTGAATTTGGAGTCATCACCTAGTATTTAAAGAGTTAGAAATCTAAAAATAGCACTAATACGAGAGATTTTCGGATGAGAGTTGGTTACGTTTTGGGAAAACATCGTTCACCTAAAAACATCATTTTCTAAAAAAGATATCACGTCTAATTTGGTTATAAATTCATTTCCTAAAATATTTTATTTGTGCCAAATAATTTTCAATTTAAACTCTAATTTTTCAAGCTAATTTAAATGTTGATGGCTTATGATTCGATGGGGATTCGTCACCGGTCTCTAAGAATTAAGAGACTTAGCAATTCACCTATCATTTAAATGTCTAAACTAATTGTGGAAAGAAAATTCTAAAAATTAAAGTATGCTTCCTTTTTTTCATTTTATATTTTTAGTCGATAGAGAATCGTAATTAGTCTTTAAAAATTAGGAGATTTGAAGATTTGCTTATTATTTAGTTGTCTAAATTAATTATGAACAAATTAAAAAATTAAAGTATGCTTTTTTTTTTGTTTATATATATATATTCGATAGAGAATCGTCATCGGTCACTGAAAATTAAAGACTCGGATAATTTACTTATCATATAGTTGTCTAAACTAATTATAATAAAATTAAAAAAAGATTAAAGTATGCTTTCTGTTTTTGTTTATCATTTTATATATTTTTTGTTGATAGAGAATCACCATCAGTCATTAAAAATTATGAGCCTCGACAATTCACCTATCATTTAGTTGTCTAAATCAATTATAAAAAAATTAAAATATGCTTTTTTTTATTATTATTTTGTATATTTTTTCGAGCCATTGAAACAGAGAACCCACCCACCCCCCCCAAAAAAAAAAAAAAAAAAAAAAAAGGGAAAGAGAAACCAGGTACAGAGAGCATCGAAACAGAGAAAGTCGAAAAAAATTGGACCATTTCTCAATTTGTGCGCGTCATCCTTGCGCAGCGGCTACGCTAATCTTCTATGTATCGTTCCACTCTTATCGGATGTCCCCGAAGGCACGAGCGATTGTGCCTGCTTCGCGTATATAAAAACGTTAAATTCTCTCTAACCAGCCAGTTTCATATTTGGGCCCAATCCCCCCATAACATACTTTGTAAAGGCCATATATTGGATTCCCGATTTTGGTTTCCCTTCAATTTTAACCTCCTTCCTCTTTATATTCTTCTCCAGACCATAGGTGATTTTCTTGGCTTTGATGTTCAAAACCAAAGCATTAATTTCTTAGGGAGATAGTCCATGCTGTGCATCCTTGGTAGTACAATTTCTAAACCATGATTAAAACTTCAAGGTTGCTTGAAAAGTATCGCCAAGCTTGCCCTGTCGGTCAAGCTCTGTTTAATAGCAATACAACTTCAAGTTTTCCTATAATACTGAGCTTCTCTGCATTGAAAAATCAAAAGCTCATATAAATTATGGCTTCGCATTTTATCAAAAACCAGGACACCATGCAGTTCCAGGTAACTGCCATTGCCAATGCAAGATATTAACTACATCAGTGAACTAATCTCTTCATCCTGGCCTTATAGTACCGTGCAAACAAGTATAGTTACAGTCAGAAGAGGTGCATCTTTACCCGTGCAACAAGCATACTATGCCACTAAAGATGGCAATATAGAAAGAACAGTCAGTCCTCCAGCAAACAAGCTTTCAAAGCTTACAAGTACTGCACGTAAAAATCAGAAGTATGTTCCTAAATCTTTCAGCTTTATTAGAACTGTTCTAGAAAATCAAGAAACAGGGGCATACCAAAAATCTTCCAACGAGGGGTAGAGGATCAGGGTTCTGTATAGAAAAGGTCTGATACATTAAACAAAATGATGTCGAGCAATCACAAGAGATACAAGGTATTCAGAACCATCCATCCAAATGAAGCATCAAATCACATTGTGAATTTCATTAAGCATTCCTCACTTTGCGTTGCTTTTTCCTCTTTACTGAAGACTTCTTCTTGGTCTTCCTGGTCTTCGGACTCAGTTCTGGAGCACTAATTGATTCTTCAGTTCTTGGTTCTTCTGGTAAAGTGCAGTGCAGAAACCTCTTGCTGTTAGGGTTACAGAACAGCTTCAGCATCTTCCTCCCTCTCATCCATTTAAGCATTATCTTCATGTGAGTTTTGCTATTTAATCCACTAATATTAGCTTCCTGTTGCACAGCAGAAAGTAAAATGTGAAGCCCACAAATGGATGAAAAAAATAATTACGATCCAAATATCTTTTTAGTAACTTTTCCTGAATGTAACTAACGATGTACCATTGCAAAAATATAATAATAATAGATTTGAGTAGAGGTAAATTTTAATGTATACATACAAACTTTTTCAAAATAAACAAGAACAATAGGATGCTTGCTTTTGTTTGCAGCAATCCCTAGGAAGCTTATCTGAATAAGTGGTTCAGTAAAACAGGTGAAGCAATGGTCCTCAGAATGGAGGTCTTCTAGGAGAATCACTTAACTATCCAGGATCCATAGCATTAGGTTGATTAGGTCGACTAAATTCACAGGCAAAGTGAGCACATATCGTGGCATCAACATCCAGAGAGCACACTTTGTTTAACAAAACTTTTTAGTGCAAAAAGAACATAATGTCATCAACAACCAGAAAAGCTTATCATTTGGTTAAACCTAAATTTGCAAGCACCGCAAGAATAAGACATTGAATAGCCAAGTTTGTAGGTCAAAGATGCAGCATTTATGATATCTTTGTCTAGATATGTTGGAGAACAATGTGTACCCTTCTTCGACAGTGATTGCTGTGAGGGAGTATGGGAAGCAGTTTCAGCTAAAAGTAGGAGCGAAAAGGCCGTTTGTTGCCGCACATTTTTTTTTTCTTGTTAAATTCCAAATTGATGCTGAAATGTTTATAAAGGCAATGATATATATATTAAAAAAAAAATGATGTTCAATTCTATGTCTACCAAGCAGATGTTCTCAGGTCTTTGACACATCACTAGAAGGAACAAAAACATCATAGATTACAAATCCATTAACCATAAACTCACTAGATAAATTCCTCAATTGGATATGCATAAGAGCCAAAACATCCACGAAGACATTCAAGTAATCAAACTCATTGCAGAAACATAAAACTCAAAACCCATCAAGCCTCAATAATCCTTATCTACCCATGAATGACACAAAAGCAGTGCTCTCGAATTATACCACAAGAACTACAATCACATTCCCATTAACTTTTCAACAAAGCACCTATGCAAGAATCAGAATCATGATTAACCAAGTTTATATCTTTTGAACCATTTCAAGCCAAGTACTTAACTTTCTTCCATTTTACACTAAACCCATTGAAAATCTCAAAAATCCAATCAAGAAACCATTAACAATAATTCAAAACAAAAACACACACACACATTTATAACAAATTTTAACACTAATATATTGAAAGACAGAAAACAAAGTGACCTTGGCTTGATTCCAGGTATTGCCAACAGTGAGAGGTCCATGTTCTTTGATGACTTGATAAATAGATTGAGCAATAGAAGCAGCTTCAGAGAATGGAACCTTAGGGTTTATCTTCCTCACATTCACTGCTCTTGCTCTTGAGAAATGCCTCACTATTTGATTTTTTACTATTGACCCGATATTACTTCCACCACCACCTAGTCCTACCCGAAACCACATCGTATTGAACCCCCCACCTTTCCCTGATTGATTTTGATTTCTACTGGTTTGCTTGTGCAGTGCTGAAGGTGCTAGCAGGGTTTTACACTAGACTGAAGTAGGCTGCAAAACTTGGCAATTACATCACGTGCCACTCACGTGGATGTTTTTTTCTCTCCTTGCACTTTGGAGTTAATTGCACTTGTAGTCCCTCCACTTATGTGTTGTTGTTCAATTAATCCTTTATTTGCCGAATGCTAATGGAATGCATTCTCTCATCCATATCTTACGTGCGTCCGATACATAAATGGTAATAAATCTTTGAAATTGATAAAAAATAAAAATAAAAAATTACAAACTAGTTTAAATAAAAAAATATATAATTAGTTTATTTTAAAATATAAAAACAGAATGAATATTAATGTTGAAAAAATTGTTTTTATTTGTAAGAATAGTCATTATTGAAAAAACATATATTTGATTAACTGAAAAAAAAATTGATATAAATATATCATTTAACTTCGAATAAAAAAATAGAAAGAAAAAAAAGTACTAATAAGGTATCATAATCATGATTAAAATAATAATAATAATAACGTGACTATCTATTTATAAGAATTTTATCGATATTTATCCAACATTATACACTCCATCAATATCGTGTATAGTTTCCAAGAAATTACTCATGGAGTATGTATTTCAAACCATTCTAACTTCTCACAAGGCCGTGTACAAGCTATACAACAAAGTAGCTCTTCTTCCATTCAAACTCCAATCTTCATCCCATCCTTCCACAAGTTTGAATATGATATTTAAAGAAAAAATCCACATCTAACTATTTGAACATATTTTCGGGATGATTTCTGGTTTTTTTTTAATAATCCAGGGTGTCCAGGCCGGTTGCCAAGCACCACAACTAATCCTTGAACCCACTGAACACCCTACAAGCCCAGGTGAGCGGATAAGGTACTGCGGGGGTGACAGGGCGTGTGCAGAGAGAGTTGAACCCGGATGGTCATCGGGAGGCAAACCCTAAACCGTTAGGCTACGACCTCAAGTACTCGATTTATGATATTATTGTTTGTATGCATATGAGTCTGTCTATAGATTTATATAATATTTTTTATTTAATTTTTATGTATTAGAATTAAATTTATTTTTTTCTTAAAGGATTGATTTAAGTGAAAAGAGTTTTAGTCACGTAGTTCGATCACTTAAATAAATAATTTTAGGTTTAAATCCTTGTATATATAAAAAATTATCCGAGTATGTTCGACAGGACAACAAGAGATTAATCTAAGTTTTTAGAATCCAAATCAGACTTTGAAATTTATCAAAATTTTCTTTTTAATTTTTAAAAACTCAAACTTGAGGCCTAAGTTAGCAGACTCAGTGAAGATCCCAGGTCTTCGAGTTATGAGTCGATCCACCAGAAGTTGATCCTTTTTGATACGTATAAAAAGCATTTTCATACGTAAGGCATGTTTTGGCTTAGGTGTTTGATTTTTTATAATATATATATATATATATATATATATATATATATATATATTAGGGAACTAGATTGGTCACCAATATTGAACTCTCTAGCAATTAAGTCCGTCCGTCCTTAGTTTTGAAACATTTAGAAACAAAATTGGTTACTAAAAAATAATTATCGTCAATGTAACTCGGTGATATTAACTAATACGTTAAAACAAAGTGAGTAAATATAGCGTTTAGCTAAATAATTCACTTTGGTTCCTCTCATTTTTAAATGTTTTATTTTGATCCTAAACTTTATTTTTATTTTATTTTAGTGCTTACATGCTGAAAAGAGAGAGAAATAAAAGAAGAGAAGGGAGGAGAGAGGAAAATTTATGGGAAACATAAGAAAAAATTAATTAAATCTAAGATTTTGATTATATATATACACTTCTTAAATGCCACCTATTTTCAAGATTAAATATTAAATACAAATCATCTTTTTTCCTCAAAAAATCACTAAACAATCATAAAAATAAAACAAAATAGTGCCAAGTTTTTTAAAGATATTTCGATCATAATATAGGCAGAGATTGAATTCTTAATGATTTCTGGATTTTTTGTTTTATGATTTTAAAGCATTTAATAGGAAACACATGCAGTTCATGTGTCATTTAATATATATATATATATAACACAAGGGATTTCAATGAAAATATCTTATAGTTATAGGATTGAAATAAAAAAGCACCTTATAATTCAAGGATTGAAACCAAAAGGACCTATGTATTTATAAAGATCTGCTGTAGTTCTTTCTATCTCAACCCCATCACCTGCTTATTAATGAATTTTTTTTTAATTATTATTATTGAAAGGTTCATGAGACTTGAGCTATATAATAAGAAATAATTCTCACTGGCTACATAATAATCAAATAAATTGAAATCACTAAGACACGAACCTGTTTTTCTAAAAAAAGCTACTAGATACACAACCGAACCTGACTGACTGAAAAAAACATCCAGATATACAACTTTTAGACCATGCTTGCTTGTGTTACTGATTAAATCTTTGAATAACATCATATTGTTCATTGCTCTTCCCTAAAAAAATCATTCATTGTACTTGTTGAGTACTTCATTCAAATTTCATCAACGAAATTCTTAAAAGAATCAACTGTTACTACGCATGTAAGAAATGATGCAAGAAATTCAAATCTGTCAATATATTGGGGCCAAAACAAAGAATTTTTCAATATTATTTTGAGAGAAAGTAATGTTTCATTACCTTCCTTCAATTCTACCAGGCATACACAAATTATAAATGATGCATAAACTAGCAAATTCTTATAAGCCAAAAAAAAAAACCGTACCACCAGTGCCTGTTATAGCATAGGATGAGGACTGAGGAGGAACACTAAAAGCATTCAAGTACTGCAATTTTATCAACTATCTGATTAAATCAGATGAAACATAATGTTGGAACAATGCGCATTGGCAGATAGCATAATTCTTTGTATTCCTCCCACTTGTATGGACCGTTCAAGTCGATTCTGTTTTCATTTGATATGTATTGTGTGAATTGTATCGTAACTCGTATGATCTTGATAATCATGCAGATCGCCACTGACTTGATTGGCATGCATGCTTGAATCTTTTCCGACTTTCCTGAAGTCTCTCTGACGTATAATTCAATAAGTGGATGTTCTATTAGAAGCAAGTTTTGATTCTAAAAAGAGGTCGCATGAAGTAGTCCAAAGTCTCTCTGCAAGTTTGATGTCGCGTGAAAGTGCAGACGAGTTTAGAATCCTACCCTTTCCACCAAAAAAATATACTCCAGATACTTCCTGGGATGAAAAAACAGCCAATTAGCTCAAGAAAAAAAAAATGGCACAGTCACTTGAATTCACTGGATAAAAATAGATCTCCCATTTTAACATTCAAAAAAAGAAAACGAGCAAGAAAACAGATGATGTTTCTATCACCAATGTGTAGGAGGAATCATTACCAAAATCTTAAAATTCTGGACTAAACAAGACGCAAGAAGGTTTGGCATTCAGCCAAGAGCATTCTACTGACAATGTGGGAACATTAACTAAAAAACCACATATAGTCCTCACATTATTTCTGTTCTTAATAAGAATCTTGAAGAAGAAGAAAAAGTAGGAGAATAAACCTCTAATATCCAAGAGTACCAGTCAATGTTATACCAGCTTCTTTAAACCACTAATATCCAAAGATGGCTCCTTCTCACACATTGATCACTACTTTTAATCAAGGAATGATGCGAATAAAGTAGAATCACTCTAGAATATCACAGTCCTATTACTATTGGTGACAGCAAACAGTTTCTAAGGCTTGTAAAACAGTGGTTATAGTATTGACAAAATCACCACAAGCACAAAAATGGTAATGATTAAACTACTATAAATTCAATAGTAATATAGTCATCATAAGAGGAGGGCTTACTGGTGGAGCAAGAGCAGCATCAATAACAGAGCTAGCCCCCTCTTCAGGTGACTGCAAAAGGCCCAGAAGCTGCAGCACTATAAATGCCATACAGGAAACTGAAGAAGGAAGTTCTCGCATGATATTGGTTTCCACTGCTCCAGGATCGGCAGCACTTCAATATGAAACAGAACCAAAAGCAATAGTTTGAGTCTTAAGTAATCACTAATAAAATACTAAAAATTTTGATAGAGAAAACAAAAATTGATAATTCTACCATTTCTCTGAGAAAAAGAATTGACGTACCATAGCAGAAGAGTAGGCATTTCCATAATACAAATTAACGAGTTGCTTATGCATGAGAATAAATGCTTTCTACACATAGGATGAATAAATGTTTTTGACACATTTAATTTTACCATTTTACCCGATATATAACCAGTAGCCAACAGATGAATTCAGAATAGTAGAAGGACTACGTGGTTACATTCAAACACAAGTAACAATAGAATTAAATAGCTAATTTCCACTCTAAAGTTTGAATGTTAAATTGTAAATTAACTGAGATACATATTGAGGCAAGAATACATACATGACAGAGACTTGACAAGATTCATCCATCGAGTTAAGTTGCCAGTGAAGCTGATATGAGAACATCAGTAGACATACTAACACCACAAATGAAACGTGACTGTCAGAAACAAGACCAAACATAATCCCTTAGTATATTGTGTAATTTCTGTGGCTTACATTTGGAGAACTCATAGATATGAGCAAACGGATATTGTTTTGATCTTGATAGGCTCTTCCCAGCAACAGTTTCTTTGTCAATCTGTACATCAAATACTAAAGCAAAAGAGAAAATGCAATTACATTTATCGAACATCTGTAAACTCCATGAAAAACCAACAATTTTGCTTTCCACTCCTTGCTAGAAATGCTGCTAATAAAGAAATTCAAATAAATGAAACTTCAATCTCTAAGAAACATCAAAAAAACAAAGAAAAGAAATGAAACGAAATTTTACGAAAACAAAATACATTGAAAACGAATGGGAGTTGTTGCAAGCAATAAAGCAAGCACTGTCATTATGAAATATCATCCTTTTATGGAAAAGGTGACAAAATACTTGCTGATGTAGATAACTAGTTACCTTATATAAGAGATGCCTAAAAATCAAATCTAATCCTCAAAACTATGTTTCATATAGAGTGACTACAAAAGTCCTTACGATTTCGATGTGTAAAGGAGGTGACATTTACTATCCGTGAGCCAACAGGACTGTTTTTGAGAAGCGGCAGTAGAAGTTTGGTCAAAGAGAAGGCACCAATGTAATTTGTCCCCATCACACTGGCAAAAACAGGTAAGTTTATCGCCAGAAATTCTCAATTTAACCAGGAAAGAAAGAGGAACTGAAAACACAGTAGTTTTATTTCTATTACAGATCATAGCCTTCTGCTGTGAGACGATGTGAAGATGCCAGTATCCCAGCATTGTTTATTAAGAGTTGGATGGAAACATGCATATCTGAATCTAATAGCCACTTCTCAAGTGAGTCTTTAAACTTCAAGATTGACTGGAAAGATGATAGGTCAACCTCAAAAGCTTTTACATGGACATCCTTGTTTTGTTTCTGTATCCCTTCTATCATCTGTCACACAAGCAATGCAGCAAGTACAAGAAAACATAAGGAAAATTACAATGCGGAGAATGGACATAAACAACAGACAGATTACTAATAGCATCAATTATATACCTTAGATAACAATTGGAGTGAGCGTCCAACTGCAGATACAATACGAGTTTCAGAAACAAGTTTTTGAACTGATAAAAGAATCTTTTTTGTTCAAAAAATAGAGAAAAACGCAATCTAGCACGAATCATAAGGCAACCATTATCCAGATATAAATTTATTGCAGCCATATAGAATAGTAAAATATCATTACAAGACACCGAATATAAAACATAAACATCATTCCTTAAAATCCCTATCAAAGGCATCAAACAAGATTCCTTTACAAATTTATGTCAAACAAACACCCAGATCCTAGCCTTATTGCAAAACACATAAAAGGAACAAATAAAGTACTTTACTTCATTAGTCAAACAATTCAGATTAACCTCTGTATAGAAAGATCACAACTTTGCAATTAGACAGCATCAGCATGCTGACCACTTAACAAATGCCAATTACACAACTCGAATCCTTCCCTAATTATTCCTCCTAACATTCATTGTAATTCATCCATTTTCAAAATTCATGACATTGTTACCTACACAAATAAAACAAAATAAACATGAACTAAGGTAAGCAGAGTACCAAGAACAACATAAAACCCCTCCTTTGAAAGATCATAAGCTGCAGCCGCGCCAATACCAGACGTAGCCTGTACCAGCAACAAAACACAAACAAGAAAAATGATTAAAACCCAAAATAATATGGATTTGTTAGTGCTTAGCAAGACTAAAAAAACCACTAAAAATTATAGCTTACACCAGTGATCACGCAAATGGGTTTCTGAGTCCCAATTCTTTGCGGCTGGCAACGAGGATAAGCATTAGGCTTTTTAGTCAAAACCCTTTGCAAAAACAACTGAAAGTAAGACATGGCAAGAGAGAGTGTCCAAAATATACCCATCCTCCAACATTCTACCGTCAAAATGAAACTCAAAGCCTTCTTCACTTCCCTCATTCTTCTTCTCCTTCTTCTTCTTTGCTATAAATACTTAGGTGTGTCTGTCTCTTAATTTCTCCACTTTCTTTGCCGCTCCCAAAATCTGGCGGGGGTTTACGGAAGAGGACAAGAGTCTTAGGGAGTTACATTCCCGGCCACCGCTGACTTGTTCTCATGGAGGTCTTGATTGCATTACAGGACGCCTAGCCCATGGTAGAATTGTCAACAGGCCTGAACAGAGGTTCTGTCCTTTGAAAACCAGTCCAGTTCTATTTCAACGGGCCCAAAAAATGAAACATCAAATATCAAACATCAAGAATATATATATATATATATATATGAATGTTCGGTTTTTGACTCAATAATTTTTTGATGTTTTTTTATTAATTTACTATAAAGAAAATTACCATCTGTCATGGTTAGCTGACATGCACATGCCATTAAGAAAATCCGAAAATTACAAGCGGAATCATAAGATTGATCCTATTTTCCGAAGTAAAAGGCAAGGCAAGCAAGCAAATCCTCCACTTGCCTCACTGTCAGTCCAGTGGCACAATACCCACCTGTTCCCTCTCCCTCTCTCTCTTTTTGCTTTTGCTTTTAGCATTATTTCTCTTCACTTTTTCCCGTGGGATTGAAGAAAGAAGGAAAAGTAAGGAAAAGAAAGTGACCCCTCCCCACTTCACTCCCATCTCATTAGTCCAAAAATTCCTAACTTTTCTTAATTTCTTTCCCTTCTTAAATAAAAGCAACAACCTCATACTTTAATCACTCACTGTGAGCACACAACTGAAGAAACTTGGGTTTCTTTTTTTATTACTCAAGTTTTTTTCTTTTTTGCTCACAGTTTTGGTTTTCTATATCATCAGAATCTCAAGGTACGTTGCTTCCTTAAAGAAAGTTTGTTTCTTGAATTGTTTATACTGATTCTTTGCTTTATTCAAGAATTGGGTTTGCTTTGTTTTGATTATTTCTTGATAGTATTTAGTGCTTTTGTGTTGATGGATTTTAGTTGTATCATAGTTTTCTTCATTTAGATCATCTGTACTAGTAGATTTTGTTTTTTTGTGTGCTGATTTTGTTTACCATGTGTTTTATCTGTGCTTTGCAGTCTTTTCAATCAATGATCTGATCATTTTGTGCTTAAATTTGTCAAGGAACTTGCCCTAGCCAAGATCAAATCTGGATTTATTGGAATCTAGATCGTTAGTTATATGCTTATGTGTGTTATATTCAAGACATGGACTTTGGGCTGTAGAAATTGTGCTAGAACTTTTAATTGCATCTTTTAGTGAGTATGATACTTATTTTGGTGGGGGTCTTGAATTTGGACTTCTTGTTTCTGCTAGGACGTATGTTTATCTGGGCTGTGGATTTGGGATTTGTTGATCATGAGTATTTGAATGGGTGGTTTGTGCTGCATGTGAGGAAAAATGAGTGATTTATGTGACTGGCATGATCTGCTCTCGTGCTCGATAAGCTGATGAGGGATTGCGTTAACCTTTAGTCCGATGTAGGGGTCATTGGCCTTTGTTTTTGTATTGCATTGAACGGGGAATCAGATTGTTGTGTGTTGCTTTTAGTTGAAATATTTAACATTTTGTTCAAAGTTTGTTTCTGCTTTAATTGTTAAAAATAAAGTAATCAAGATTGATCATGGATTTATATCAATTAAGATTTTTTTTTCTTTTTTTATGTGTGCTTTTGTGCTTTGTGTTCAAGACATGCACTTTGCTATAGAAATTGCACTAAAACTCTATTGGGAAATATCAACTTGTTGATGCATAATTTATCAGGGGTCTTGACTTTGTACTACTTGCTTTTGTATATTGATCCTGAGACAAATGTTTGCCTCGATTCTGGATATGAGATTTTCTGAATGCGGGTATCTTCAAACCAATGTGCTCTAGAAAAATGAGTGATTTATATTACTGGTGTGATCTTTATTATGCTCATTAAGCTGATAGTGGATTGCTTGAACCTTTGGGGTTCTGTAGGGATTATTGGCCTTTGTTTTGGCATTGCCATGAATGGAGAATTAAATTGTTGCATTGCTGGTTTACACTGTCTTTTTCAAGTTTGCTTTCAGTGGAAGTTCTTAGAACTTCGTTTAAGTTTTTTACTCCATGATGTAAACAATTCTTTTCTTATTGTTAAAGTAAAGTAATCTTTTGTCTTTCCAAGGACCATTCTTTTCTGCTGCATGATGAATTTATGATTATATTTCCAAATATTGATGGAATTGTGATTGTTTTTCCAAATAATGTTGTACCTTCCTGTGTTCCTCTGCGTTGACTGGATGGTACTCCTTGAATTGCAGTATCAGTATAAACCATGGCTGACGGTGAGGAAATTCAACCTCTTGTCTGTGATAATGGCACTGGAATGGTTAAGGTGAGTGTGGTTGTCTTTTAACAGGTTGTTTTCCTTTTGGACCGCAATGTTTTGAGAGCCTTTATTAGTTCACAGGAACATGCATATAACTTTGAATTTTTTTTCTTCTTCAACAGGCAGGTTTTGCTGGAGATGATGCTCCAAGAGCAGTCTTCCCCAGTATTGTTGGCCGGCCTAGGCATACAGGTGTTATGGTTGGAATGGGGCAGAAAGATGCTTATGTTGGGGATGAGGCCCAATCAAAAAGAGGTATTCTCACGTTAAAGTACCCTATCGAACATGGGATTGTTAGCAACTGGGATGATATGGAAAAGATTTGGCATCACACTTTCTACAATGAGCTTCGTGTGTCTCCTGAAGAACATCCTGTTCTCCTTACTGAAGCTCCTCTGAACCCTAAGGCCAACAGGGAAAAAATGACTCAGATTATGTTCGAAACCTTTAATGTCCCTGCCATGTATGTTGCCATCCAAGCAGTGCTCTCCCTCTATGCTAGTGGACGTACTACAGGTGTGTAGGGGATGCATATATATTTGAGAACCCTTCTCTGTTTTCAATTGCAAAGAAAACAATTGGTGCTGTTCAAATTTGTCTGTAACTTTCTCTTTTTGGTGTACTTTTCAGGTATTGTGCTGGATTCTGGTGACGGAGTTAGTCACACAGTTCCCATCTATGAAGGTTATGCACTTCCTCATGCCATTCTTAGGCTTGATCTTGCTGGAAGGGATTTAACAGATGCCTTGATGAAGATTCTTACGGAGAGAGGATACTCATTCACCACAACTGCTGAACGGGAAATTGTCAGAGACATTAAGGAGAAGCTTGCATATGTGGCCCTTGATTATGAGCAGGAGCTTGAAACTGCTAAAAGTAGCTCTTCAATTGAGAAGAGCTATGAACTACCTGATGGCCAGGTTATCACCATCGGTGCAGAGCGATTCCGTTGCCCTGAGGTCCTATTTCAACCATCACTCATTGGGATGGAAGCACCTGGAATTCATGAAACCACTTATAATTCGATCATGAAGTGTGATGTTGATATCAGGAAAGACTTGTATGGTAACATAGTGCTCAGTGGTGGATCCACCATGTTTCCAGGAATAGCTGATCGAATGAGCAAGGAGATCACAGCTCTTGCTCCAAGTAGCATGAAAATCAAGGTGGTTGCACCTCCTGAGAGAAAATACAGTGTTTGGATTGGAGGGTCTATACTGGCATCCCTCAGCACTTTCCAACAGGTATGTATTGTACATCTCCTTGAGTATTCTACTGCATGTTTATTCTTGACCCAGAAGTTTAAAATTACCTGAATCACATATGAGGAAAAGGAGGGTGAAGGAAAGGAACAAAGCAAATGTTAACTTCCATTAGTTGAGAAATACATATGGGTGCAGGCGCGCACACGACACACACAAAACTATTGACAATGGTAATTGGTTCAAAATAAAACAACTAAATTAGAAAAAACCAAGTCATAAATATACTGGATTAATTATTTTACACTGTTCTGAAGTTTCCACGTGCACACAGCCTCACAAAACTATTGAAAATGGTAATTGCTACAAAATAAAACAACTAAATTAGAAAAACCAGGTCATAAATATACTGGATTAATTATTTTATACTGTTCTGAATTTTCTACGTACTTTTTTGTCTATATTTATTTGGAATTCAGCCATTTTTGTTCGGACAATTGATTTTAGATTTTAATTTTTGCTTTGTATGGGTTCTTTTCCTCGCAGATGTGGATATCAAAGGCAGAGTATGATGAATCAGGACCCTCCATTGTTCACAGAAAGTGCTTCTAGATATGCAATTGCCATTTTGCCTGCTCCTATTTCCATCCCCTCTTTATCATTATAGTTTTGGATTGTGCGACCGAGTGATATGGCTTGTTTGGCTTGATTTTGACCTTCCTTGGTTTTGTTCTCTTTCTTAGCTTCATAGTTACCATCTAAAACATGTACTTGTTGGTATGTGTAATCATATGTAGATTGTATTTTATCTTCTTCAAGCCATCGTATTATGAATAGCATTAATGTGTTTGATGATTACAATCTTTCAGTTTTTTTTTTTTTTTTTCATTCTTTTTCTATTGAGTTTATGCATGGATGTTCTTAGTCAGGGTTGTACTCTCATTTTTTTTAGGTTTTATTGTAGGGCAACTGTGAATCTGTGACTAGCGCGCCTCATCTGATATGAGTAAATAAGCTCTCTTCTACTACAGAATACAATTTCCATTAATGAATAATAAGAGCCCATAAGCATATCACCCACAAATAACTTACATGAGCTTTCTTTGAAAAGTGGAAATAGAAAAGGAATCAAATGCTGTTCATCAGCGTTGCACAGAAAACTTTGTTACGAATAGTTTTTTAGCTCTCTGATCCCTCAAGGTATAAAAATCTTCTTACGGCTTGTAACCATTTGAGTATCTAAACAAATACAAGAAAACTTGGGTCCTGATCATGTCAGCATTAGCTTTGTGGTGATGCGGCATATATTTATCTTATTAGCACTACAGAGGCTAGCGGAGGTACTCTAAACTAGCGTCTTTTGAAGAATGGTTTGACGAGGCTCGAGGGTCGACGAAGGGGGAGGGAAAGATAGAGAATATAATGGTTTGTGTGAATATGGCAAGGCCTGATCTTGTAGAGGTGAAGAAGATTTTGCAAAAATTCCTTCTTCATGATCAAATGGAAATTTTATTGCTGATTAACGGGGGCCACGAAAGATTGATACAAGTCCAGGCAGGTAAGGTGGGTGGGCTAGCCACTCTGTTCATGAGCCAGGACCACGCATTAAGATAAAAAAATCAATACCCAGCCGTTCCCTCTTTCTTTCTCTTTCCTTTCCCGCCATTATACGTATGAGATTCCTTTGTTTCCATAGGCATGCTTCATTCAGTTAGGAAATTCCCCTTTTCATGTCTGGTGTCATTTGGTTTTCGATTTTGAATAACATGGATAGCAGATAGAAAAGAGATTGTATTTTCAGTAGGATAAATTTTTTTTTTTTCCAGCAAGGACTTAAGCTCGGTCTTCGATTGGATTGGCCTTTGTTTGGTGCCACACGAAGCTTAATAGAGAATCAAATTGTTGTCTGGTGGATGCCAACCCTGTCATTAATGCCATCTTCCTCTACTTCTAATATTAATATCTGCCTTCCCTTACACGTATGACTAGGAGTGTATTTTTCATCACAAAAATAGCACAATCCCCTCATTCTCCTTTCATCCATTTCTGTGTTATTAGGCAGCCTCTTGGTTCTGAAGACTGAGTTACTGTTTTGGAATTGGTTTGGCAAGGGTAACAGGCCTCTTTGGTTATTTGCAGGGTTTCTGGAAGTGTTTGAAGGTATATGTTGGTGAGAAGGAATTGTAGGCTTGTAGTTGGCAGTATTGTTCATCCTCGAATTGAAGAAAGAAGAGCTGGGGTTTGGTTTTTGGTTGAACAAAGGAGGAGGAACTCTAGTAATGAATCTGTTGGGGCTATAGTGAATATTTGGATTGGTTTCTTGCAGTTTAGCTATAGCTACTGCTTCTTGAAAACTTTTTGGCCTCATCGCCCTTACTGGAACCTGTAACTCAGGCTTTAATCCTCCAATAAAGCAGCTAATGACATAGTCCTCAGGTAGAACCAGTATATTAACAACAGAAATGAATTTTTTTAGGAAGGATTGAACATCCTGCACTTGTTTGATTCCCATTAACTCAGCCATAGGATCACTAAATACCATAGCACTGAAACGAATGCTCATGGCTTCAATGTAGTCCTCCCATTTGATCAGTGATCTGTTTCCATTCATTCTCATGAAAACCTGATGCCATTCCAAAGCTTCTTCTTCTAAATGTATGGCAGCTAAATTCACCTTGGCATCCTCAGGGGTTTTATCAACCATAAAAAATTTCTCACACCTGATAGTCCATCCCTCAAAATCCTTTCCCGAAAATCTGGGAAATTCCACTCTAGACATCCTAGTGTTGAAATTATATCCCATACTACACCCTGCACCACTGTTAGCTCCCAAACCAGCATTCGTTCTATTCATCGAATAACCATACCTAGGAACTTCATGCCCTCTCTCATTTAAATTCCCTATATCCTCTGCAGCATTACCATCCACCTTCTCATGCACTGAATTTTTGAGCTCATTAACTAGTTCTTTCAGTTCACCAATATCCTGATCATGCTGTGAAAAAACCAAATCACATCTGTGGGTGAGATCAGTGATTACCTTAGTGAGTGAGGCAATCGATTCTTCCATCTTTTTAAGATCAGCATTTCCTTTTGCCATGATTGAAGTTGTTAGCTTTCCACAGGTGAGAGAATCTTGCTTTGATACCAACTGATGCAATTCCAAAATTCTAGAATCAAGAAATAAGGAGAGTAATGCAGAAAATGAATTGAATTACGTTTTATTGAATCAAAACTAATTGTTCAAATACAAACAACAATGAACAGATCAAGATTACAATGCGTTAAGAAGAGAAATTGTTACCAGAATACTGGAAGAACAAGTAGCAGAGAGAGAGTTATTACAGAGAGAAATCCAGCTGGAGAGAGAGAACATCCAAATTTGCCTAATGCTTACAAAATGAGTTTTCCCTCCATTTATAACCGAATACCTCTAGACTAGCCAACTCTCTAACTGACTTGTAACTAATTCCTAACAATACAACTACTCTTTATAACTCCAGCTTTTCCACCTCTGCTCATGACCTTTAACGTACTTGCCACGTAATCTTCCATGCCTGACCTGTAACATACTTGCCACGTAATCTGCCATGTCAGCTATCTGTTTGTATAACTCTTGCATGAGAACCTTCAATGTAAGCTGTTCTGCCTGTTTTTGATCGATTCTTAACAAAACATTGCACCAGCAAATTCGATCAGTAACAGTTAACTCTTAGGGCATGCTTGATTCAGTTAGGAAATTCCCCTTTTCATGCCTGGTGTTATTTGGTTTTCGATTTTGAATCTCATGGATAGCAGATAGAGAAGAGATTGTGTTTTCAGTAGGATAATTTTTTATTATTTTTTTAATGGTAATGTCAAGACTTCATATATAACTGGTAAATATTTATCTTCTCAACAAAATTAAAATGTGAATTTTATTTGGAATTTGGAATCTGTATTGGGATTCAGATTTTTATTATTATTATTATTTTTCACAGCACGAACTTAAGGTGTCGCTTCGATTGGATTGGCCTCTGTTTGGTGCCACACGAAGCTCGGTAGAGAAACAAATTGTTGTCTATTGGATGCCAACCCTGTCATGCCCATGTGTTAAAGAACTTCCCCATTTGTTAGAGTTTGTTTCTCAATGCTGTAAACAATCCTGTTTTCTTCGTTGAAGTGCAATACTTTGTTGTCTTTCCGTTGCATGATGCATGTGTTAATTTTTCCAAATGTTGAATATGGTTCTTTGCATTTTAATCTATGATACTATTTAGTTGTAGGATCAATATCAACCCTGGCAGAGTCTGAGGAAATTCGGCCTGTTGTTTGTGATAATGACAGTGGAATGGTTACGGTGAGGAGCGGTTTTCTTTTTAATAGTTTGTGTTCATTTTGTGCTGCGTTGTTACAGAAGCCCTTTCCAGTGCTCATAAATAACTCTTCATCTGGATCTTTTCTCCTTCAACAGGCAGGTTTTGCTGGAGATGAAGCTCCAATGGCCATTTTCCCAGCATGGTGGGAGAGGGAGAGAGAGATGTCTTTCTCAGGAACGAGGCCCAACGGAATAGAGGTATCCTCATAGTCAAATACCCTATTGAACATTGGATTGTTAGCAACTGGGATGACATGGAAAAGATTTGGGATCAAACTTTCTACAATGAGATTCGTGTGGCTCCTGAAGAACATCCTGTGCTCCTGACTGAAGCTCCCTTGAACGGCTGAACCCCATGGCTAACAGGGAAAAACTGACAGAAACTATGTTTGAAACCTTCAATGTCCTTGCCATGTATGTTGCAATTGAAGCAGAGCTATCCCTTTATGCTAGTGGGCATACTACAGGTGTGTAGGGGATTGAGAACTCTTCTCCATTTTTCATCTCATGCTCTTCAAATTTGTCTATAATGTTCCTTTTTGTCCATACTTGCCAGGCATTGTGCTGGATTCTGGTGATGGATTTAGTCACACTGACACAGTTTCCATCGATGGAGGCCATACGTTCTTCCTGCAATCCATAGTTCCATACGCTTGATCTTGCTGGAAGGAATTTAACAAATGCCCTGGTAATGATCCTTACAGAGAGTGTGCACCCGTTCACCATAACTGCTGGACGGGAAATTGTTCATGACTTCAAGGGGAAGCTTGCATATTTGGCCCTTGGTTATGAGCAGGAACTTGAAACTGCTAAAAGTAGCTCATAAGTTGAGAAGAGCTATATATGAGCTACCTGATGGCCAGGTTATCACCCTTGTTGCAGAGTGTTTCCATTGCCCCTGAAGTCCTATTTCAACCATCACTCATTAGCATGGAAGCACCTGGAATTCACAAAATCACATGCAAATTGATCATAAAATGTGATGTTGATGTCAGGAAAGACTTGTATGGTAACATAGTGCTGAGCGGTGGGTGTACCATGTTTCATGGAATAGCTAATCTGATAAGGAAGTAGATCACAGCTCTTGCTCCAGGTAGCATGAAAATCGGGTTGGTGGCAACTTCTGAGAGAAAGTACAGTGTTTGGATCGGAGAATCTAAGCTGGCTTCCCTCGGCATTTTCGAGAAGGTATATATCTTATAGCTCCCATGATGATTCTGTTTTACGTCTAATTTCTCCTTTACATTGTTTTATGTGATATACTGGATATCTTAAAGTTATTCCTAGCCTGTAAGCTTAGACAGCTCGAAGTCACGAGAGATCCCATTATTCTATTTTGTCATGTAAGCAAAAAGAAGCCTACGTGCTACGGTGTAAAGGAAAGGAACAAAGCAAATACTTGACTTTCATTAGTGCGGAGAGGATCCAGGATCATTGGCAATGGTAAAAAGAAAAGAACCAAATCATTAGTCTCGGGCATTACACATGCTGTATTTATTATTATATTATAATGTTGTGATGTTATAAAGTCTCTGCGTATTATTATTCTTTTCCCTTCTGATATTTTTTTGCTCTTTCATTTTTATTCATTTGGACAGGCATGTGGAAAACAGAGACTTGATTGTAGAAAACAGAGAGGAAAAAATATTTAACACAAGGACAAAATAGATGTTGTGAAAGAGAGATATATTATTTGATCCTACTACGTAGCCTTATATAGGCGTATAAGCAACAAACTTAGTTACCGATTTTGCTTCTTTTTCAGCAACGGACTATTGACTCAACTAATTCAACTAAGAAGTAGGAAAGCAAGCGGTAGACTAGGTAACAAATTAATTTAGCACGTGAATAGAAATTCTTAAGTAACTAACAAAATAATAATAGACCAAGTCTTCAAAAATTGTTCCACGTGTTGGTGTTGTATTTAACACCGCCCTTCAACACCAGCCTTCTATTCTTTTTATCATGCCAAACCGATGACGAAAGTTTTCAAGCTTGTTGCCACCCGGGCCTTTTGTGAGCAAATCTGCGATTTGATCCTCTCGTCTTAATATGCCTTAGCTCAACCTCTTCTTGTAAAACTTTCTCCCCGATAAAGTGATAATGCACCTCCACATGTTTAGTTCCGGCATGAAAAACTCGAATTCTCTCGCCAACCGTATTCGTCGACTAGTTGTCACAATATAGTGGAAGTGCGGAATCCGTTGATTGATACAAGTTCTTCAACAATTGCATAAGCCAAGTACTCTCTTGAGCCGCACTTGTCGTAGCTCGATATTTTGCTTTTGTTGTTGATAAAGACACGGTTAGGTCGCCTTTTGCTACATCAAGAAACCGCTCCCGATCCAAGCATAAAAACATACCCAATAGTTGAATGTCGGGTGTCATGATCACCTGCATAGTCGGTATCAAAATAACCAACTAGCTTGCAATCTCCACCTTTCTTATACAAGACACCATAGTCTAGTGTACTCTTCACATATCTCAAAATTCGTCGTATCGCTTCCAAATGATGCTTCTTTGGATTTTACATGTATCGACTCATCACACCAACTCGCATATGATATATCGAGTCCGGTTAAAGTTAGGTAGATCAAACTACCCACTAGTTGTTGATACATTGTTACATCTTTCAAATTTCTCTCTTCACTGAGCACACATTTTGGCATTTGGCTCCATTGGAGTCAAAATTGGCTTGCACTCAAGCATTCCAAACTTCTTAAACAATTCTTTGGAATATTTTTGCTGATGGAGAAATATTCCTTCTTGAGTACGATCAACTTCTAGACCAAGAAAATGCTTCGATTGTCCAAGCTCTTTCATTTGAAATCGAATTGATAAATTCTTCTTTGTTTGGTGGATTTCTTCTTCACAATTGCTCGTTATGATTAAATCATCCATATACAATAGCACAATGCTAGTTTTCCTTCATTAACTTTGACAAACAAACTAGAATCCGCATGTGTCACGGAATAACCACTATGAATCAAAAATTCAGCAATCTTACCATACCAAGCCTTTGGTGTTTGCTTTAATCCATAGAGCGCCTTTCAAAGTTTACACACATATTCGGGATGATCTTGATTCTGAAAACCCATAAGTTTAGTCATGTAGATCTCCCAATCCAATTCTCCATGCGAAATGCATTCTTCACATCCATCCGCCACAAGTTCCAGCCTTTACTAGCCGCAAGTGCTAGTAAGACTCGTACGATTGTAAGCATTGCAACTCGGACTAAACGTTTCATCATAATCTAGTCCATATTGTTGAGAGAACCCTCGAGCTACCGGACGAGCCTTGTGTCTTTCAATCGAACCATCCGTGCGACGTTTTATTTTATAAACCCATTTACAAGAAATAGGTTTCACATCTCCCGGCTTTGGCACGATCTCCCAAGTATGATTTCGTTCTAGTGTAGTAATTTCTTCTTCCATGGCTTTAGTCCATTCCGAATCCCGATATGCTTCCTCAAATGTCTTTAGTTCTTTTGCATCTACTTCTTCCACTATAGCAGACATTGGCATATTTAGGATTTGGCTTTCGACTCTTGTTAATCTTCTAAGTGGAGTTGGTGCTTCTACTTCACTAGGCTCATCCTCTTTGTCTAATTGTTGATACACACCAATTTGCCAAAGACCTTGAATTAAGCCTTCTTCAACATGATCATTATCATCGGCATCTTTATTTTTTCCTAAACTCGCCTAGATCCGAGTAGATTTCAACTCATCTTGAAAGCCATCTAAGTCTAGTAACATTTCCTTTTCGAAGACCACCAGAAGACGCTTCATCAAACACCACATTCCCGGATGTGTAGCATTTTTCAGTTGTAGGATCACAACATCTCCACCCTTTTCTTTGACTATCATATCCCACAAAGATACATCTAACGACCTTTTTGTCAATCTTGCCACGTAAATGATTAGGTACAAATACATAACATACACAATCGAAAACACGAAAATAGCTAACTCGTAGGTTTCATGTTCCAGAATTTTTCAAAAGGTGAAAGAAAACATAACCTTTATCGAGGAAGCCTATTGATCACAAAAGCTGCAGGTGTTCATTGCTTCGCCCAAAATCGACTCGGAACATTTTTTGCATGAAGCATGCTCCGACATATTTCGGTCGAGTGTCCGTTCTTTCTTTCTGCTATGTCGTTTTACCGTGAAGTGTTATCACATGTGAATTGATGGCGGATTCGACACTCTTGTAAGAAACTAAGAAACTCATCCGAAGTATACTCTCCCTCATTGTCGGTGTGTAGACAATAAATTTTCTTACCAACTTCTCGCTTCGTCGTCTCCTTGAACTCTTTGAACTTTGAAAAAGTTTTAGATTTTTCCTTCATAAACCGAACCCACACATACCTCGAAAAGTCATCAATAAAAGTTACCATGTACTTCATCCCATTGATAGAGACTTGCTTAACAAGTCCAAACACATCGAGTGAATTAACTCTAATGGTTCATTTGCTTGAAACTTGGACTCTTCATACGATGAATCGATGTGCTTTCCCATACCGATATCCCGCACAAATTGTGTTTGCTTTTATTTCAAGTTGAGGAAGTCCCTTTAGCATCGATTTTTTTATCGTCATATTGAGCTTGGAATAGCTAACATGACTTAACCGCATATGCCATAAGTCTACTTGTCTCGTTCTTCCTTGTCTTGTCTACATATGCAGTTTCTGCCGACATTACATAGATCGATTCTTGTCTTCGTCCCTCCATCATCGGCTCTCTTATAACTTCGAGGTTGCGAAATACCTTCATATCTTGCGGGCCAAACAAAACAAAATGGCTTAAAGATGTAAATTATGCTACTCGATAAAAGATTTTTCTTCATACCGGGAACATGATAAACATTTTAAAGTGATGCCTTATTAGCACTGTATCGAGGAGAGACTATCATATTACCAATGTGAGCTATAGGTAACTTGGAATTATTGGTTGTCACCACCACTCAGCTTCTTTTGTACTCCGATAAATTTTACAGCCTTCTCCTTATTACTCGTCATATGGTTTGAGCGACTCGAGTCAACAATCCAATCTTTCTCATAATCAATCTGTTCGATCATTGTTGCTCGTGAGTGCTAACTCCTCATCTGCTATAGCAAAGAGTGCCTCGAGCATCCCATTCATCTTCGTGTTTGGAAGTAACGACATTACTCTCCATAGTCCTTTTCTTGAACGAGCAAATTTTTGCCATATGACCCTTCTTCCCACAATTGTAGCACTTTCTTTCAAACTTTTTGCTATTGCTATAATTCTTCGAGGCACCCCATGAATAAGTGCTCCTTTCGCCTTGATGAGTTTTTACCCCGTCCTTATTCCTTTTAGATCCACCAACGTTGTCGTTGCTTGGAATTCCATCTGCTTTTGTTGATGTAGAGTGCTTCCTCTTTGTCCTTCAGCAAAAGTCCTCCCATTTGTTTGGCTAAGGCTTCCGGCTAGCAAGCAAATTTTTGAATTCAACAAGTGATGATTCCTTTTGCCATACCTTTAATGCGAGTAACAAAGCTTCTATATTCGGGTCTCAAACCATGAATAATTATTCTCTTCATCTTGGTTTCCACGATTGGAGCTTCGGGATCTAACTCGAAAGTTCGCGCACGGTGACTTCACCTTATGAAAGTATTGAGCAATCGTCATGTCATGTTGTACTACGGACAATAATGTGCTCTCTAGAAGTTGAAGCCTCATATCATTCTTCTTTGAAAAAAGCATGGCTAATATATCCCATGCTTCTTTGGGATTTTCTCGCATTTCGAATGTGCTCCAAGCACTTCTTCTTCAATCGTAGTCTTCAAAGCAAACATCGTCTTGCTCGCTTTTATCTTCCACTTTCGCAACGTACCATTTACATCCTCTCGCTCCCGGTTGCATGACTTCATTTCCATTGACAACTTCCCACAAATCTTGGCCTTGCAAATAAGATTGCATGCATGTGGACCAAGAATTGTAGTTTTGATTGTTAAGCTTTTTAATTCGTCCAACGACTTGAAGATCACCCATCCTTACTCCGATACCGGATTGTAGAAAACAGAGAGGAAAAAATATTTAACACAAGGACAAAATAGATGTTGTGAAAGAGAGATATATTATTTGATCCAACTACGTAGCCTTATATAGGCGTACAAGCAACGAGACTTAGCTATTGATTCTCGCTTCTTTTCAGCAATAGACTATTGACTCAATTAATTCAACTAAGAAGTAGGAAAGCAAGCGGTAGATTAGGTAACAAATTAACTTAGCACGTGAATAGAAATTCTTAAGTAACCGACAAAATAATAATAGACCAAGTCTTCAAAAATTGTTCCACATGCTTGGTGTTGTATTTAACAAGGCATGTATTCTACTCTCTGTATTGGGTTTATTTGGTTCGGTGTGTTTTCGTTTGGACAATGTGTTCTAGATTGTATTAGATCCGATGCTAAATTGATGCAATTGTTGATCAAGACTCGATGATAATTTAATACGATTTCACAATAAATCTTAATCAATCTAGTATGTCCTCTTTGTTGATACATTCTTGGCATAATGATCATGTCAGAACTATAATCGTATTCTATTTTATATTAATGTAACTCCTGATTTTAGAGCTCGATGATAAATCATTTATTGTGTCCCAAAACGAAACACAACCCCCCCCCAATATGGCTTATTTGGTTTGATTTTGATCTTCTTTTGATTTGTTATCTTTCTCACCCTTATATTAATGTGTAATCACTTTTATCTTCTGCGTGCCATAGCTCATAATAACATCGTGTTTGATCGCTACAATCTTTCAGTTTTTTTCGTTTTCCTTCTTTTTCTATTGAACTTATCTGTGTTTCTGCGAGCAAATGAAATGCCTAGAGCTGTTCTTAGACTGAGTTGTTCCTTAGACGGAGATGTGCAAGCCCTCTTCTTTTACGCACACAGTGAACTTGTTGAGATACATCTGGATCGGTAAATACTATAATCATTCCAGAGAAATGTAGTTGAAGTAGAGTGAAGGGTTGCCATCAGTTTGCGGCCAAGCGATGCCTAAGGAAAGAATTGCATAGTTGCATTGATGCTTTTGAAAGAAATCATGATCAAGGAAAGATGTGGCACATATTCCTCTTGCAAAAAGTTGATTGAAAAAGTTACTAGGAACTAAGACATTTAACTGTCACGCAAAGGGATAAAGGAATAATTCTTTGCTGGTAGTGAGTTGAATAGCTTCTTTTCCATTCAGCAACAGAGACCGAAAAGGACCAGAATCTTGTCATTAGCCAAAACACATCCAATACTTGGTAGAACAATCTATGTGTGTTGTTTGAAACTGACAAGGACCATATGGCTGGATAAGGATTTCACATTATACTAGTTTTATTAAATATAAAGGATAAACTATTTGTATTCACGAAGAAGCTTGAAGCCGAGACCTCTTAAGGACAGAGAGATACAGATGTCAGTTTAGCTATATTCACTTCGGTCCTGTATATGATTTATGGGTTTTTTGCTTTCCAAAAAAAAAAAAGGAAATCCGATTTACTGGAATTTGCTTTAAGAGCAATTTTACATGGTTGTGGCATTTGTAATTCTTACTGAGAGATTGTAACTTTCAGAGGTTTCCTAAATGTGAAAGGAAAGGAGATGGAACGCAGAAATAGGCCTATCTGTAGCTGAAGATAACAGAATCTGACAAGGAAGAAGAAAAAAAACCAAAAACTTGTAAAAACTAGCTACACGGGTATGTTTTCATTAGTACTGAGATTGTCTGGTGCTCTTTCAGGTTCTGCTGGTCGAGAAGTGTTGTTGTCGAGGCCATTTCCTGCGCAAGAATTGGCAGGTGAAGAAGGGGAGGAAGCAAGACAACTACTGCGGCAAGTGGGGCAAGAAGAACGACTTGACAACCATTTTTGTATACAATGAACATGGAATCCATGGTTACATCTTCCCAAAACCCGAATCTCCTCGCCTTCCACGAATTCTGACAAGCAAATTGCACAATCTTCCTCCACCCCGCCGAGCTTTAATTCAGCAGAATACACCTGTGTGGTAGCCAGCACCAGTGATGCCATGTTTGCTTCTTTTTTGGGTTTCCTCTGCTCCTCGAGTTCGCCAAGGCGGTCTGACGAGCTATCGTTGCTGCTTCGCAAAAACCAACGAACGGCTGCGTGGAGAACCAGTGCACAAATGAGTGCACAGAGGAGAATGATGAGGATCATAGCTGTGTTAGCTCCAAAATCATTTGAGTTTGAGTAAGGCCACCATTTGCAGCTATGAACTTGAGGGTCACATGATGGAGCTCTAGAATGGAGTGGTGGTGGAGATAGATGGCTGATGTTTGCTGCTGCTGCTGCTGTTTCTGGGGGTGCTTGTCTCATTTTGGAACTTGAATTTTCTTGTGTTTTTTGTAACGTCGGATTCTTAGTTCTTACCAGTTATGCTTGAGCCCTGATCAGATGGATCTATTAGCTCCGGAAAGAGAGAGAGAAAGAATGCGTGAAAGTACAGATTGAGATGATTTTATAGGCATCAAGAAACGCATACGTGCACTCGACGTTTTTACTTTTTTTTTTTTTTTCCTAAGAACTAATAGCATGATTAGTTATTATAGTTTTCACGAATTTTATAATACATAAAGAGTAATTAATATACATAGATACATACAGTATTTTTTTAATTTCTTTTCCTTATTTTTTTTCTTTTTCATATTTATTTCTTTTTATAAAATACCAAGCATTAATTATTTTTTAAGTATTATAAAATTTTTCATACTCTTCGTATTTTTTTAATGAGACTCTTTTATTTTTTTATTTATCAAATCCCTTTATTCAAATTTTCATAATATGAGATCTGGTCGATAATTTTTCAAACAAATGTTAGATGCAATAAAAAATAACACGTGTAATAACAAGTGAGCTTAAATTGCCACATGACAAAATGTTTTTAGGAAAAAAACATATCTTTAGATATAAAAACACGAAATATATCTTCTCTCTCTTCTAATTAACAAAAAAAATAATAATAAACCAAAATACTGGTTTACTATTTATTATATTGTTCCAACAACTATTTATCCAGGCTCATTTTATTATTCATACAAACTCATATGCACTTTGTTTTCACTATATAGTGATATTTTTATAATTTTAAAACTTTCTAAAGTAATTTATTATGAAATTTTTTGTCATAGTACATTTTGACTTCTCTTTTTTAAACATTATTTTTTCAAAAAAAATTATTTCATTTTGGTCTTTTTTTTAATTTTATTTTGGTCACTTTGATCCTTATTTCTCTAATTTTTTTAATTAAAAATTTTAAGACAAAAAGATTAGAAAAAAACAATTTATAAAATAAGTTTTTAGCCAAAAATTCATTGATTTTGACTTTTTTTCGTACATTATTTTTTTTTTAGTTAAGAATGTGAATAGAGATAAATAAATAATTTTTTAATTAAAAATTTATAAAAAATATATATATAAAGAATAATTAGTCAAATACAAAATTTTAATTAAAAAATTATAAAATTAACTGAATTTTTATTCAGTTTTGATTCGATATATTTTGATAAACACATAATATAAAATAAAGTATTAAGCTAAAATAATTTTATATGTCTTGTCCGATCCGTAACGTAGCACGGATAAAAAAATATTTCAATCTAATCCATAAACTAGTGATTTTTATAACATATATATATTGAATTCAAACTCATGACATATCCTAAGAAACACCTCATTTGCTTTGCCCCAAGTTTTGAAGAATGGTTTTAAGGTTACTTTACCTTGGATGTTTGAAAACTGTTGTTCATGCATCAGTCTGAACAGAAGAAACGGTTCTATGTAGGTGGGGTCTTTGTGGCTTGTTTTTTCTTCAAAACTTTTACAGCGCACATAATTCCTTAACTTTTTTACTAATTTATCATTAACTGTCACTTCGCAAAGATTACTATTTCTCTACTTTATGTTTTCTATGTTATCTCCACATGATCATCATTCATCAATATTGACACATATATTTGCTAATTGCTACTGCTCCAACTCCATTTAGTGCCTGCCTGCCTGCCTACTAATGATCTCAAAACTTAGGGCTGAAAAACAAGTCCAGACAAAATATCATTTACAAGGGTTGATGTAAGCTCCACATGGTTACCTCCTCCATGAATCATGATAAGGTTAATGATGTAACAACCAAAGAAAACAACAGATCGCTAGGGCTGGACTAATCAAGATAAATATGGCATTAATAATGTGTAGTTTGATAGCTGTCAATGATTACAGATGCAATATGATTTGCCTTTTTTCCAATGGCAAACAAACCAAATCCAATAACCAAGTTGATTGCTTTAATTATTTGCTTCTAAAGTTGGTGAGTTTGTATCTATCCTCAAAGATTTTTAATAGAATAAGTATATCAATTTTTCTTTATATAATACTTAATTTTTTATATGTTTTTAGGTTTTTAATTACATCTCATCGTTTTTTAAAATTTTAAAATGTTCAATATATTTTTTTCATCAATTTTTTTTACCAAACATAAATATCGTGTGCTTTTTTTTTTATTTACATTTCATTAAAAGACATTTTGGTTAAAATTTTCATCTAAAGTTGGATAAATTGATCAGAAAAACATGTCAAATATTTTAAAATAATTTAAAAACAAATGAAATGTAATTAAAAATATAAGAACATATAAGAAACGCTGGAAAATATATATAGACAAACCGAGTTATTTATCCTTTTTAATATTTTAATATCCTCAAAGATTAAGTCTTTCGTGGATGAAATTTAGATATTCATGAAAGAATTCTTTCTCGTGATCTCTGCTTAAATGGAAGCAGCAGTATTAACAACATGGGGCAATGGATATGAACTCGGTGACCATCTTGCTACGAAGACAACATATGACAATTTCAAGGGAAGATCCAAGGTATTTGATGAGATAACCATGCTAGAGGGGCATGGACCCAAAGGGAGCTAGCTTACGTTACTATAGCCTTTATGGAAAAGTGAAAAGGAGTGGATAAGCTGATAAGAGCTTCATCAGAGAAAGCATTACAGCTTGTGAAAAAAAACAGAAATCCTGTTCGGTTTATTGGATGTATTAGCAGAGGGGTAAGTGAAGGAGGTGTCTCAAAGATTTCAGTGAGACGTAGACACTTCCTTAGGCACCTTCTACATCAATCTCTGCTAGGTGTTCCAAAAATTGATTCTGTGGTATACAGGGACTGAAATGAAGAGAGTTCAAAATTTAGGCCCACAGTAGTAAATAGACAAATGGCTCGAGGACCCACAAAGTTGATTTGGCCTAATGCAATCCACTTGAGTCTATTGTGAAATTGGCTGATTGGCTCCACTAGAAGGAGGTTACAAATGCAAGTCTAGTAGAACTTTCTAATCAATTCAAGGCGAGAAGGTGTCTGTGACACAGACGTATGGACGCCCCAGAAGAAGGAATTTATTAGGGAAAGGAAATAACAATGGCGTTGCCTTGCTCAGAAGGCAACTGAACAGTACCAAGTGGAAGGGAATGCACCTAACTGATATTAAATTGGGTCGTATAGACAGGTTTTTTGAAGGTGTTTTTGGACCATGCCATGCCCATACTGACAAGTCATGTGCTTGTTGATAGCAAGTACAATAATTTAGAGCGTCATTTCTTATACTCCTAATCCATCACGAGTTTGGTAGATCGATTAATTCTTTGAAAGTTTGTTCGTGCATGATTTCAGTACATGAAAGCTGGTCTGATGATAATGGATCCAATGAAGAAGACAAATCATTAGGGTTTGTGAGTTACCCCATGATTGATCGTATGAGCCGCTGGTTTTAGTGTGACTCAGCCTCGGGATTTCTTTTCTGAAAATAAATGATGTTAATGATTGAACCTTGGAGGGTTTTCTGCCTTGCCACGTAAATTTGCATTGTCTGCCAATTTTGGGTGGCAACATATGGCCAGGGGGGCTGTTATATACCAGATGGCACACGGCCAGTTTTAATCACGTTTGCCTTCTGGTTTACGTCAAATATAACCAATGGGCTGCGGCGGCCACTGTTACACCCCGCTCGAAGAGAGATGTTTCTGAAATTTAATTAATTACGTTATATAAATTCAAAAGCCTCAAAAAAATATTATTGAAGCATTGGAGAAGTTTTTAGGTTAACGGAAAAAAAAATGTATACATATCCTTAGAAATTTTAGAAAATTCCTTATTGTTGTATTAGTACATAACTAAATAGTTTTTTTTATAAATATTTAAGAAAATCAATTATAGTTATTAAATATATAGATAATACCTTCATCTAACCAAACCAAAAGTTGTAATCGATTAATAATAATATAATAGGTTTTCTAATATCTCTTTTATGTTTTTTTTTTTATTTTACAATATATGAGAGAGAAAAGCTGACTTGAATCAATTTAAGCAAAAAGTGAGTTAAGTGCCATATAAAAACTTGAAAAAGACCAAGTCCTTGACACATGGCACACCTATATTCATTTGAATTTCTTTGAGAAAAAGAACCTCTTGAGGGAAGGCAATCCGGCAGAATAGAGCCAGGAAGGCTCCTAGGTGCATGTACTGATAGACCTTGAATAGAGCCATGAAGGCTTCTAGGTGCACGTACTGATGCACCTCTTCCTATTTGTTTGATTGCCATCGAAAATGATCGAGGCTCTGCGTTGCAGAGGCAAACATGGTTTGCAAAATGATGGGAAAGAGACCGTAAAATGGACATAATTTGCCGTGGACTGAGGAACCTTGCTATTGACTTTGCTGTTGAAACACCTTGAGTTGCATGTTTTAATTACAAGCAAGAGATAAAACATTTTATGCCGACGAATTTGGAGGGGCTAAGAGAACTGGATGACAGCCCTGCTCGTTAGTTCATTTCTCGTAAGCTAGAAAAAACATTCATTGCAGAAACATAAATCATATAAAATAGTGAAAACAGTGCACAAATTGTGGCCACCAACGGACATAGCAGAGACATCGATCTTATAAAATAGAAAAAACAGTACACAAACTGTAGCAACTTCACCAGGCCAGTAAACTCAGAAAGTGCAAATTTCACTTGGCGTGCAATGAAAATCCAAGACTAGTCCCAAACTAATCGGAAAACTAGAAAAACGTTTTGACAACGTAAAAGAATGATGATCAAACACACCAAAAATCTAATTTTAGCTCCAAAGCTAACTTTTGCCAACTCTTTCACAATCATGCCACAAGTCTAAAGCAAACCAGTGGATAATGAACTACAAGATTGTCTTAAAACACTACCGCGACGTCACAACAAATTGGTAAAGGCAAAGGCAATAGAGTAAGAATCAGCAGAACACTATATTGCACAAATGAGATTTGAAGACACTGCAATATAAAGTATTTTACCTATTATCTCAACAATTATAACACCAACTGCCTCCGTTGTGCAATAAGGGTTTTCTTCAAATAAAAAAAATAAACCATTCATACAGTCCAATTTCTTGCCTTCAAGGCATATTTGTAATCGAGGGCATAGCAAGAAAATCAAAAAAGCAAAATCCAATAACATAAGAAAACTTCTAAAAACAGAAACTCTAGCCAATATCCAATAAATGTTATACTTGAAAAACGTTTGAAAACTCAAAAGATTTGATAAAGGTAGCTTGAATGGAACTCCCGCATGTTGATGCAACTTGAATGACTCCTCATTCTTGCTCAGCACTCACAGTGCTCTTCTCACTTACGTATATGCCATCAAGAAATTTTCGGATATCCTTGTTCTTGACATGACATTTCTGGACAAAGGAGACAGAGTCAGAGCATGAAAGCAATTTTAGTGACTTAGCATGCAACATTTGCACACAGAGCACTAAATTGTGCAAACAAGATACCGTGCTAACCTAATGCTCCCGAGTACATATTCTATCATATATATAAATGCTAGAAGGTATGCACACACCTGGTTGATCAGAGCTGCCGACCGTGAAACAAGCTCAATATCATTACCATCTAGGACTAGCTCGTCCTTCACTTTTTCAGATCGAATAATGCTAACCCCGTCAAGCATATCAACCTTCCTAACCTGAAGCAACGGAGCACAGATCAGAATATGTGAGGAGTCAATTACACACCAATCATCCATCTACCAAGTCGGCATTTTATCAAAGTACGGCAAACACAACATACCTACATTCACACATATCCACAAACCAACAAAAACTTCATCCCAGAAGTAACAATCAATCAAAACATAATAATCTTCATTTTCAATTTATTATTCCATACTTGCATATTGTATCTATTTTAAGACTCGAATGAGATTCCATAAACTTAGCATAGCAATCCTCGAAAATGGACAACATAGAAAATCAAATGGAAGTTGCATTAAAAAATATTCCACCATAAAATCATCAATCAAATGAAAGTTGCAATGAAACATTTCACCATAAAATCAGCAGCAAATTGCAACACTTAATGCGAAATTTTAGCTAGTAAAATTTGCTAATCCCAGTTATCAGTCATACTAGATACAGAACTATGTTTCATTTTCTACTATTCAAGCAGGGTTTGTATTTCCATTATTTTTCTACTAATTCAGTGATCACCATCAACCATTCAGATATTTCATGCTGCAGCTACACAAATCTAAAACTTTGACAACGATTATTCACACATTAACTTTCTTACAGCTCTAATATGTCTTGTCACAAAGTCATCTGATTTCTTAAAACATCACACCAAAACATTAACAGAATCAACATAGAAAATAAGAAACTTGGATTAAAATGTTACCTTCTTCTCTCCAAGAAAGTTCCTGATCTCGATAGCAGTGTTGTTGTTAGTGATGGAGGCATTGATGGGAAAATGAGCATACACAAACCTCATCTTGTATCTGTACCCCTTGGTAACCCCAGTAATCAAGTTCCCCACGTGGCTAAGAGCAGTCCTGATAGCAGCACTGGTCTTTCTTGAACCAAACCAGGCATCAATCTTCAGCTTTCTTTTACCTTCCTCGTCTTTTATCAACTGGAAATCAAGATTCAAATGCTTGAAGTTCCTGCTCAGCTTGCCTCTTGGGCCTTCGACTTCTATGATCCTGGCATGGATCTTGATTTTCACCCCATCTGGGATGTCCATAGTCTCAGACGAGAGAATTGTCTTCATAGTTTCTCAGAAAACGGCAGCTCTCCTCAAGCTTGGTTTTTTTCCTTTCAGCCTTGCCACAAAACCCTAACCCTAAGAAAAATATGTTTATATAGCGGTAGAGATGGAATGTAAGAAAATGCTCTAAACCCTAAAATTATTTCTTCATGTTAAATGGATTAGAGATAACCAGACCCAATTCTTTAGCCCGTTTAAAATTAATGGATGGTTTTTTTGGACAGTTGATACAACCTAAGCCCAGCCCACATTTAATGTTTGTTTTTTAGCTACATGTGCAAAAACATAGTGAATTATAAATTAGTCCCTCTCTTTTATAGAAATAAATTAATCAATCCCTTTTCTTCAAAAACTAATTATTTAGTCTTTTATATTTTAATTTCATGAATAGCTTAGTATTATCATACGTTTCTATGAGATTAGTATTTTTTTTTTTAAATTACAGTTCTTTCGATTTTTTATTGAGGAGAGAGAAAAACATTGGATGAAAAAAAGAAATAAGGCATTAAATGAAAGGCAATTTGGGAAAAAAATTTGTTAATTTAGCAAAAACAAATTTGATGAAATGACTCAGTTATTAACGAAATTAAAACATAAGAGACTAGATAAAAAGTTTTAAAATAAAAAAATAATTAATTTGTTTCTTGAAACAAGATGGACTAACTTATAATTTATTCTACAAAAATAAGAGTTAATATCACGTTTTGCAACAATGGTTTTGATTTTTTATTAATTTTTCCCTTGAAATTTTTTTACGGATTGTATTATTGCATTATTTGTTTCTAACAATGTGTGAGATTTCAACATTTAAATTTATTGTATTTGATATTAAATCTCTTTAAAAAGGTTGAAAAAACATCTAAAATCCTACAAATATAAAACGCAAACAATGGAATTAGTGGTTTCGAAAGATTGTTCAACAAAACCACTTCGATAGTTAAGTCAAGGTTTTAGATATATTGTATAAATATTAGAGAGAGATATGGTTCTTTGAAAACATGTGTGTATTGAAATTATTTTGTTGTTATGTTTTATGATGAAAAAAAACTCTCATGTATTAGGAAATGATTGGTATAAGGCATGTCATTAGAACATTAGAGCAAGTGGCTATTATGCCTTAAGGAAGGGAGCACGTGCTTGTGAATAAACCTAATCCGATGAGCTTTTCATGGGAAGTCCAAATTTATATCTCATTAGTGTTGTTAAAGTTTTTGTCCTTAAATCCAATTCCATTGCATTACTGTGGCCTATCAATAATTTGTCTATTGAGACGTATGAAAATTTATGTCCAATCACAACCTATCAAGTTTTATCTAAAAGCCAAAGTTTTGTTGAACAAGCTCTGCATCATAGAAGAGCCATACAACCTTACCAGGAAGTATTAGTTGGTTTTTCATGCTACAATTGATCGAACCAAATATATCTATTTCAATTTAATAATTTATATTATATTATTAATCTACTAATACATATTAAATTAAAAATAAAATATAAAAATTTTATTTAATTGTATAATTTTTAATCAAAATTTGTATTTATTTGTTATTTTTTGTGTTTTTTCATCAATGTTATGGTTAAAAAAACACGATTTATTTTTTGCTATTCGTTCATTCTTAAATAAAAACCTGCAATGATATAGATATAAAATCTTAAAAAATATCTTAACAATTTTTTCATAAGATTACATTGAAAAAATATATCAACAATCAATATAAAAATTGGTATAAAAATTAACTAATGAATCTTTTTAAATTTTTTAAAAATATGTTCATTTGATATATAAACACACACACACACACACACACGGACAAAACAATCAATAGTAGTAGGTATAAAAACATGTATTTGAATTATTAGATGATTCTTTTAAACTATTATTTTATTTAAAATAAAGTAAATTTAGAATATTAAAAACAATTAATAGGAAAGAGTTGGTGTTTTGTGTGTAGATGCATAGTTAATTTTTAATAAAATCAATGATCTTAATACTTTTTTGTATACATCATTACCATACTCTATACAAATTAAAAAACATGTTTAAAAAAACTTAAGTTGAAAAAAACATATTGAAGTCAATAGAGTGCAATAAAAATAATTTAAAATTTTATTAAAAAAAAACGATTACATCAAGAATAAGATAAAGAAACACATAAATTCTATTATTTATTAAAAAAACATATTGAAAATCCATACAAGGTGAAAGATAAATCATATTTATTAACAAATAAAATTTTATAAAAAATAAAAAATTTAATTTGATGAAAATTTTTACAATAAACGAAAAATTTAATAGATTAATTTTAATTAATAAAAAAATATAATCTCATATATGTGTTTGTCATAAAATTTAAAAACATAAAAGGCCAAAAACATCTTTTGAAAATATGAGAAGCAAAAAATATATTTTGAAAAAATACGAGACGAAAATGAACTAAATTAAAAACATGAGGTGTCAAAATATTTTTAAAAATATGAGGATTTAAAAATACATTTTGAAAATATAATGGACTAAAAAGGAATGAAGCGTAAGAATTGAAAATGAATGCCTGAAAAACTATAAAAGAAAATTATGAAAACGCCATTATAAAAAATCACAAAACTGTCATCAACGCTAAATAAATAGCGATCCGAGACAAATGATTTATCCCATATCTTTTATTATATTACTTAATGCTCTATCTCTTGACTTCTTAATCTCAAACCTTAAGGCCAACACTACAAAAACAATCTTTTTTAATGCACTGGAACAATGTGAATGGTGCACTTTTAAAATCACATAAGAAGAAAACTTGTTATTAGTTAACATACAAATTGGTATGGGAATAAAGACGACAATGGAAGGATACTCGATCCATTAGTTTAATTTTTCATCCTATTCATCAAAACAATACGTTGTTTATTATCCATTAAGAAATCATCATATAAATTTTTATTCGACCCATATCCGGCTCATACTAATTTATCCATCGATTTAATACTCATTAAATACCCATTGATTTAATTCGTCAAAAATATTTATGTTAATCATCATAATTTTTAAGAAAAGTTTTTGTGATTCTTAATTTTTTTTTTACATTTTGGTCATTTATCTATTATTTTTTTGGTCCTCGAAGTTTTTTAAAAAATATTTTGATCTTTAATTTTTAAATTTTATACAAGTAGATCCTTACATATTAATTAAAAAATCTAAATAAAACAGTGAATATTAATAAGATAAAGAATAGATACTGATACTCTAAAACTATATTAGTAGGTATGTATTTTTTTTATCTTTATTCACTTCAATACTCATTAGATATTTTTAATAAATATTTATTGGATTAGGTAAAACGAATACCCATTTTATAACTCGACATATTGTCATCTCTATCCTAGAATATCATTTATTATTGAATAAAAAAAGATATCAAAATAGACCCTTAGAGTTTGTTTGATGTTTTCTTTTTTAGAATGATTTTGTCACGTCATTTAGTTACGAAGAAAAAACAGTTGAAATGTGAAGGAAACTTTATTTCTATTTAAGGTGATCGGTTGAAAAAAGAGAGAAAAATAGAATGAAAATTTGAATGAAAATTTAATATGTTCTTATTCTTATTGAACAGGTGCATAGGCAAAATTAATTATATGGTTGATGATGATACCATAAAAAGAATTAAATTTTAAAATATTCAAATTATATACACAACTAAAATTTTAACTATTGAAATGGAACGTGGATAAGTCGTAAACTAATGTTGCTAAATTTGAAACGACCTTGAACACTGGTGAGTAGGGTTTTTCATACTTATTCCATGATCGTCCCAACACACAAGCAAAAACATTGATCATGACTCAATCATGATCTTTTGCATAAAAGAATTTACACAATGGCATTAATTTGCTCTGTTCTTAATTTATAATTTTATCTATATTGTTTGAAATACTGGTGGAAACTAAATAAATAAAAATTATAGAAGCTAATAAGAAATTAGTAGAAATAATAGATGAGACAATTTTCGTGAAAAAAAAAAATCCATTATAGAGGTTTTGCAAGAGCTGCTATATTAATGAATGATGTGAAGTTTTAAAAAATGTTGTGGTTTTTGGAATATTTATAATATATTTTCATCATAAAAAGAAACTGGTTCGATGAGGGAAAGAAATCTGGTTTTTTTTTTTATTTATATTCCAATACAAACTTTGAAAATAAAAAATTTATCATTAATTGTGCAAAATAAGATCAAATGTGTAAAAAAAAAAAAGCCAATCAAAACTTGTAGGTTAATTGTCGAGCATTGATTTTAATCTTAACCTTGTTTGGGATATCTAGTTTTTTTTTTTTTAATCGGATTAATCTCTTTCACGATTGGAACAAAACCTAAAAAGAAAAATGAGTTTGTATAATGATAGCCAAAGAGTAAAAAATGAGTTTATTATGGTAGCTCGGCACAAGCAAAACATCAATCATGATTCATTTGTGATTTTTTTTTTATTATTTTTTGCATAAAGTGAATTTAAATAATATCACTAATTTGGTTGTTTGTTATCATTTTCTAATCTTGTTTGTGTTTTTGAGATACTAGTGGAAACCAAATAATCATCGTGACAAATCTTATATCACCTTAGACTCCCACGTTTTATGGTTTTTTTCTTAGGCAAAATTTTTAAATTTATCACTGAATTTATGTCAATTATTCATTTTTACTCTTGTGTTTTTAATTTGGTCGATGAACCATTGTGTTTTTAATTGATGAACCATTGTGTTTTTAATTAATGAACCCTTGCAATTTTCAAATATATGGAATTAACCCAATAGCTACTTTACATCGAATATCAATTCTAGTATTGATGTAAATACGATATTATTAAATATTTTTAAGCTATGAGGTGACTTATTATATTCGCGTGAGACTTATATCACCAAATAAATTATTATCTTATAAAAATAAATTTAAGATAATTTATTTAATGACACAAGCCCCATGAAAATATAAAAGGTCATTTCATAATGTAAAATATTTAATAGTCACATAATTAACATGAATAGTTAATATAGAGACTTGACAAAATTTAGCTACCTATGAATTGAACACACTGTAATGACATGAGGGTTAGTCGAACAAATTCAAAAAACATAAGAGTCAATTGACCAAATTAAAAGAACAAGGATAAAAATAAATAACTGACACTACCATAGGAGTAAATTCTTTTTTTTTTTTTTTTGTTACAAAATAGTAGAACTAATTAAAAACTTCCAACCTTCTTATGGATAAGGAAAATGTGTACATGTTAACCACAAAGGGATGACGCAGCGGTAAGGACTTGGTATAAAGGTGTTTGCTCCTCATGTGGTATCGGGTTCGAGTCCCGATTGCTCCTCTTGGTGGTCACCGAAGGCTTACATGGTCGTTAACTTCAAGGTCCACAAGATAAGTCGAGATGTGCGTAAGTTGGCCCGGACACCAACGTTATAAAAAAAATATATATATATATATATATATATATATATATATATATATATATATATATATATATATATATAACTTCGATTAACAAATGATTTTAATTGAGAGAATATATTATTTAATAAAAAAATGCTTAAATTTAATTTCATATTTTGAACTCTAAGAAAACCAATTGTAAAAGACAATGCTAATTGCAGATTCCACTAATTTAATAATGCCTATCGTTGTATCATGATTTTAAAATGAAAACCAATTGTAAGTCGCACTGACCTAACGGTCCGAGTGTATTTTTGGAGTTTTTTTTTATGATAACATAAATGGACTGTTAGATCATATGATCTTACAGTGATTTCCAATTGTACGTCCCTCTAATCTAACAATGTAAGTGTATTTTTTTGAGTTTTTTCTTATCATAATTTCTTAATATTTAGCATTATTTTATTAAAAATTATAGAGTTTAGTTAATGCACCTTATGTATAAAACACGTCAAGAAATTTTGGAATTCTAAAAGTTACTACACAGAGGAATGGTGTGAAGTTTTCCGACCATCATTGGGTTTGGAATATATAGAGTGTAAGGTGGTATAAACAAATGTTGACGTGTTAATTAAGTGTAGAGTTTGATCCTTATAATTTGTATTTTTAAAAATTTGTTATCAGAATATTTGAGGCTATACGTTAGAGAGTGTTTTTTAATCATGAAAAGATTAATTTTGAAAAGCACAAAAACTGATTGGAGGATCCGCTAAAAAAAAATTGCATAGTTATTGCTTTGCAATGATTAGATGCAAGTATAATTCTTCAACAAAAAGCATTGAGAAATTTAGATATCTCTCCACAACAAAGATAATACCTGAGTTAATTTATATAAATTAGTCCTTCTATTTTGTCAAAACAAATTACTTAATCCCCTAGCATGAGATAAATCGAGGATATTATCTTTTAATTTCAATTTCAAGACTACTTCTTAGTTTTATTTTTATTTTTTAATTTAAAGATGGTTTTATTTAAATTTTCGAATTCATAATTCCTAGGCCACTGCTTGAGAACTCTCAGGTTCTAAAACACGTAGCACTTATTTAAATTATCACAAGAAAAATGCTATAAACACTTCAACTCCTCTTCCTTCCCCCTCTCAGTTATGTCTGTTTCTATGGCGACACCGTCGTCGTCGACGTCGCCACCGATAATCCGTGCATGGAGAACAGCATTTCTTACTCTAAGAGACGAAACCCTAACAACTCGAAGTCCAAAATCAGAATCCAAATCATTACCACAACTCCTTCACGATTTACTCTTCTCGTCTCCCTCTCTTCTCTCCGCCGCCTCCGATCTCCCTTCTCACGAAGTAACTTATCGATCACCATTTGAACTAATCAACTGATTTACTCGTTAATTGCACTCGCATTAACTTGCTAATCACTTTTTCTTGATCTTATGTGTTTGATTAGGTTGCCTCCGATTTGCTATTCTTACTGGAATTGGCGGCGAATTCATCACAAGATTTCTCTTCTATGTATCCACACATTTTGCATTTGGTAACTACTTTTAACAATTTGTTTAACTTTTTAACATTTGTTATTGTTAGTGACTGTTTTTTTTTTCGAATTTGGATTTGTAAACTAGGTTTATGATGTATGCCAAAGGCAACGCATTTCGCTGCAATTAAATTCTAATTCTTGGAGTGTTGTACTTGATGCTTATGCGAAAATGCTGCAATTCTTTATTGGAAAGGCTGGTACTTATAATATTAAACCAGCTATCGAATGTATAGGGACTGTGAGGTTAGTTTAACTTTCTGTTATTGCTACATTTTTCTTGTTTTTCATTTAGTGAGCATTTTCTGATTATTATTTGTTTATTTTTAGGCACTTTGTGAGTGAATATCAGCAAAGCTGTTTGCTATCAGATAATGTTCAATTAGTGAAATTCCTTCTCCGGACTGTTGGTTTCTCTCATGCTCAGTTGGTTAGCTTGTCTTATAGTAGTGGGAACCAAAGGTCTGGTGGGGCTATTGGAAAGGTAGCGTCCAAGTCTAGTAGTTTATGGGAGGTTTATACTGTTGCGTTTACTATGCTTGCTGAAGTGTTTGAAAAAGTTGGGTCTTCTTTTCCTGCTGATATTTGGCAGTCCACAATTGAGGTAGATGTATTCCTTTGCCTAGTTGATTGTTTGTGTACGGATGAGCGTCTTAACTCTTGTTGTTTGTTGATTAGGTGCTTAGGAAAGTGATGGATGCCTTGGCAGGCAAGAACTTGCTTTCCGAAGATATTGTTATGTCCAGGTACCAAGAGCGTTCCTTTAACCCCAAACAACATATCTGTGCAATCTGCATGAGTGCTTGTTTATATGCCTTTATGTGTATTGTCAGTGTTTGACCTTAGCTTGGCAACAACTCTTCTCCGCAGGTTTTATGCTTCTCTTCTTAATTGTTTACATTTGGTTCTTTTGGATCCTAAAGGTTCCCTTCATGATCATGTAAGTTAATCCATATACTTTTAGGGTAAGTTTCAGCTGTTCGTTTTTCTATGCTTCAGTTGTCTTTATACTTTACGAATTTGGTTATTATTTTCTTTTACAGGTGTCGGGTTTTGTTGCAACATTACGATTGTTCTTTATTTATGGAATTAACAGTAGACAACAATTTACAGCCCCACAGACTGTTAACAAGGAGAAGGAACTTAGTTCAGTGAGCCTTAAGTTGAATTCTAAAAAACCTATACAAAAAGATAATGCTCCATATAGGCCTCCACATTTGCGCAAAAAAGATGGCCAAAATATGAAACAGCCCGGAGCTCAAGGCTCTCTGTGTTTCTCTGATCATGAATCTTCTGCAACCGATTTCACGTCATCGGATTCAGATTGCAGCGATAGGGATGTGTCAGGGAAAGATGCTGATGGTATTCAAAGCTCAAAGGTTCGAGTTGCTGCCATTGTTTGCATAAAGGTAAACATTATAAAATTGTTCTTTTAGGATTGAAAATTTTAAACAGCCATCTGTTTATCAGTTTGCTTTTCAACAGTACTGTATTCTAGTCTTGTGTGATCAGTGCTGCTCCTTTTCTCATAGTAAGTCATAGTTTTAAATCTACTTTTTGGTTTACCTAGCTGTATTTGATGAGATCTTTTTGAAGGGGTGCCCATGTTTGAAGTTTCATTTCATCTCAGTTTCTATAGATCACATTCAATATGTTGATAACATTGATGTAGCCGGCTACAAATGCTATCACTGAGCAATTATTTGCAATTCTAGTCATAACGTTTATGCAATTTGACTTTTTTATTTTGTGGATAAGGATCTCTGTCAAGCTGATCCCAAGTCATTTACTGCCCAGTGGACAATGCTTTTGCCTACCAATGATGTACTACAGCAAAGGTGAAGCTTTTTGCTTTAGTTTGCACTCAGAAAATTTGTGTCGCTTCTGTATTGTTTATCTTTTGGTTTCCTATTTGAAGTTCTTTTCGGTCTGATTACCTTATGTGACTTCTCTGTTTGCAGGAAGTTTGAAGCAACTCTAATGACGTGTTTGCTATTTGATCCTTATTTAAAGGTACTGTTTGGTGTCAATTTTTGCTGGCCATGCATTTGGATTTTTTTTTTTTCAAGGGTATGAGGGTAGGAATCAGAGAGGGTGATGGAAAGGGTATGCGAATAATGTCATTTACCGTGCTTGTTTTGAACAAAAAGGGGAGGGAAGTAGAAAAAAATATTGCTCCCATGCCTCTCTCATGCCTCCGAGATTCCAGCAAGATGGAGAATCGTGTATCTATATTCCTAATTTTATCATTGTTATTGATGTCATGTAGACACACATTGCTAAAAATTACAGCACCAGGTTAGAGTAACCTACTTATCATGCTATTTTTTCCCTCTCCACCCATTAACTAAAAATAAATCGAAAAGAACAGAAAAGAAAGGTTGGATTACCAAGCATGTCCCAAATCTTTTCTTCCCTTCCATCCCCTTCTGTTTCCTTTGCCTTCCCAGTTTCCCCAACCATAAAGAGCATTAATGTTCATTCCTTCTCCTTTTTTTCTTTGGGCACTTTAGCTGTAGTGATTGAAATTATATGCATTCATTTTGCAATTTTCAGATGTTTGCTTACATTTCTATTAAATTTTGTGCCTCCTTGATGTTTCTCACTCATTTCTTATATTTTGTGGAGAGTAGGCTCGGATTGCCTCTGCATCGACTATGGCAGTTATGCTGGATGGGCCTTCATCTGTTTTTATGCAGGTAGCAGAGTACAAAGAATCTACTAAATGGGGATCTTTTATGGCACTATCAAGTTCGCTTGGACAGATCCTGATGCAACTTCACACTGGTAATAGAGAGGCAGGGTGCCATGCAGTTTAGTAATTTTGGTGTAACTTGTACTTCACTGTTGTTATTTCCTGATGTTCTTTGTTTACTGCTTACATGGCCTAGTAATAATATGCTACTTTGTGTCTGATGTAGGTATCCTGCACTTAATCCAGCGCGAAACTCATAGCAGACTACTAGCATCAGTGTTCAAGATTCTCATGCTTCTTATATCATCTACACCGTATGAATCCTCCATCTAAAAATTATCTCAAAGTCATCACAATTTTGAGTTTTCTTATCTGATATTATCTATAAGCCAGTGTTGATAGTAATATTCATGCTCACTTTATAGGTTATTCAAACCTTGTATCTACCTAGTCAGTTAACTGTACCCAAAAGTGAATATGTTTGTTCTTAAAAGTGTTAATTCACTCTATTCTTAAACATGGAGAGAAGAATTATGGACTCTGTTCAGTTCTAATGTAGGATATTTCTTCTGTATATTTACGTTTTGCTTGCTTTCTTCCCAGGAAAGCAACAGTATCCTTACATAACTTATTCTGTTTATTCTTCTTTATTCTGGTTGTTCATCCTACAGATATTCTAGAATGCCCGAAGAGTTGTTACCAAGAGTAATTAGTTCTCTACTGGAAAAGACTGAGAATGGGTTCCCTTTCAAAAGCGATCAAACTGGTCTGCTGGTGAGTTTTAATCGTATAAGTGGAAATAATTGTGTTGTTCATTAGCATTCTTTTTTCATTTATTTGGTCCTTATCTCCTTTTTGGGAAGTGGGTAGGGTTTGCACGGGAGTGACCTCTGAAATTAACTTTTGTTTTAATTTTTAAACTTTTTTGCTAGGTTAGCACTATTAGTTGCTTGACTGCAGCTTTCTCTACAACACCATCATCACCACAGGTGAAACAAATGCTTTTAGAAGAAATCTCAACAGGTTAGGGTTTTTTTATGCTATACTATTTAGAGGATTGTCTCTGTATATGCTCCCATTGTGTTTGTTTTTTAAAAAAGCTGAGTTTTTTGCCATTCACAACCTGCTCGAGATACATATCTGCTATCCCTGTCTTCTTTGTTGTTAGTGTTACTGTTAATAGACCCGTTGATATCTCTGTTATTTGGTGGATGCTTTCTGTATTATGCATATTCCGTCCTGTTTTGTTAGAACTTCCTTTTATATATTTTCTTTGTTTTCATTTTTGCTCATTAGTCTAATTTGACCTTGGAATCTATTTGAAGCTTTCTTCCTGATGCAGTTGAGGCTGAGAAGAGGTCTGGTGCTATTTTTACTATATTTCGGCTCTCTGAGCAACTAAGCAGTCCAACAATATGCTTTGAGACTCTTCAGGTTATATTATTTAAACATGTTCAATGCTTACTAGTATACTTATAAGAAGCATGATAGGCTGTTGAGCCACAGGCATGTCTTGACCTTAGTCTATGCAGCTCCTTAGCCATCAGGATTTAGGAGTTGGTTTTTATCATTGAGAATTACTGGCCAAACAAAGGTTTTAAACCTAGAGGTATGTTGGCTTCAGATGTAAAGCACACAGGTTTTGACTTTGCAAGATGAGTGAGAAGTATTTGCAAGTAAACTTGCTAAACCCTCTAGTTCGAACTCTATAATTTGGTCTAATGGATAAGGAGAAAGAGATTTGCTTTCTAACATATAGACCCAATCAATTATGAAGTTGGCAATGAAATTTAAGACTTTTTAAATGTCACTAAAATGCTCTTCCCATCTCTAGTTGCCATAAATGAATGCAAGAGACATTTCCTGTATTATAATAAAATAATGGGACAAAATATGGAAAACTTTGAGATGATTTTCATGGACTTGCACAAGTAAATTGACTTCAATTTTAGTATACCAACCATTGTGAAAGTGGAAACACCTGTGTGATTAATTTCCAGGACTGTCTAAGGTAACACTAACTCCAACCTTAGCATCCCTTCATCTCATGCCAGAATGACTGGGATTCAAAGGGAAGGGGCACATGCAATTATCATTCAGTAGGACTGGTAAACTTGTTTGCAATCTCTATGTGATGAGTTTTGCTTACAGCTTTGCTATTGAGGTCAAAGCTCGTGAGAGGATCTTTAATTTTTCTGCGCATATTGTAATGGTCTGTTGTCACTTAAAAGATTCTTGTACACTATTTGTTGCAGACTCTTAGAGCTTTGATGCACAATTACCCCAACATAGCATCTGCACGTTGGGAACACATTTCTGTCACAGTGTCCAAAATTTTGAGGGCAGCTACTCCAGAAGCTCCTATGAGAACTTGGAAGGGACATGCAGGAGACAATGTTGGCTTTTTGGGGGAAAAGATTGTAACAGCTTCTATCAAGGTAAGATATTAGTAAGATATCTTTTTGCTAGTTTTTAACTTGGAGCAATTTCTTGTACTCAGGACCGACAGTTTGGATTCACATATAGGTAAGATATATAGTCAACGGTTTGGATTGTCCTATATGATCCAACAGTAAATCAGTAAGATTCTTGTTATGCAAGCAGTTATTGGCTTGAAATTACATAAATCAAAATTTCTACCAGATTAGCTGCTTGTATTTTTTCCAAAAATCATTTTCACATTTCTTTATGAATTGCTTCTCTATTCTACAATTCTGGTTCTAATGCGGTCATGCCTTGGTCTTTACTACCTTTGTTCTTTTCATTTTTCCCATATAGGTTTTGGATGAATGTCTTCGTGCAATATCTGGATTTAAAGGAACTGAAGAGATTTTAGATGATAAATTATTGGATGCTCCATTTACATCTGATTGCACAAGGACAAAGAAAGTGTCATCAGCACCATCATATGAACCTCATAGTGCAGAAGATACCAAAGAACAAAAAACATGTCATTCAGGAAGCGAACATTGGTCTGAGGCAATAGACAAGCATATAACCATGACATTGCGGCATAATTCTCCCATGGTTTGTTGGATTTTTTTTTCTTTTTGGAACATTTGGCTTCCATGATACGTGTGATCTTTAGGAGTTATTAGATTTATGCTTGTGCATGGTTAAAGTCTCTGTCTCTAGATCTAATACTTGTGCTGTATTTGTGGTAATAATTTTAGCATATGCTGTCTTTTTTTTTTCAACTGGCATATTTGCTGTCTTCATTTGAACAATATGAAGCAACTTGCCTACTGGAGGATGAATCTCTTGTTTTACTTATTTCTTTAATTTTAACTAACCTATACAGCTATTATTAGTCCAGTTAGGCTCATCTATCTGAAAGTTCTGAATCCTTCTAGCCTTCTTTGGGCTTGAAAAATCCCCCACTAGACTTGGTGAAATTGTTAGATTATTGATAATTTTTAAAAAGAGACTGTTAAGCCATTGGATTGATGATTTGCGATCAATTTAATGAATTTAGCACAGATGCAGTTGGTAACCTGCTTGGCAGCCTTTGGCATCATATAGCTTTATCTGCTGAGAAAATTTTCACACTAGATGAAACATAGTTCTTCTATTGCATTATAACAAAACTATACAGCTGTTGAAAATTTCTTTCATGCCTGCATATAGCTGATTTTTGTTTTTTAATTTGTTGGATTGTTTTACCTCTGGTAGGTAAGAACTGCATCAATAACTTGTTTCGCTGGTATTACCTCTTCTGTATTCTTCTCCCTTGCAAAGGACAAACAGGAGTTCATTGTTTCTTCTTTGGTAAGTTCACATGCAATGTGAAACCCTTTTTGCTTTCTATACTGAACAAATATATATTTTTTTTCTTTTCAAGTTTATGTATTACACCTGCAAATACTTTGTAGATCAATGCTGCTGTAAATGATGGGGTTCCTTCAGTTAGATCAGCTGCTTGTCGAGCCATTGGGGTGATCTCTTGTTTTCTGCAAGTTTCACAGAGGTGATTCTGAATATTGTTTTATGATATAAATAAATTCTTTGTTCCCATGCAAGATTGTGGATACAAAATTTATGAACTTAAACCATTTAGTGCAGAGATCCTTGACAAGTTTATCCATGCTGTTGAGATCAACACTCGTGATCCCTTGGTCTCGGTACCTTATCATCCCTTTTCCAATTTAGTTTTTGAAATTTTTCGTAAGTGGGTAATCATGGTGGCTGAGTATTACTAATGTCTTTCAGGTGCGGATAACAGCCTCATGGGCTTTGGCAAACATATGTGATTCTCTGCGTCACTGTATTGATGAATTTCCCGTGAAAAGTTATACAGGTGCACTTTTAGGATACCGAAATGGTATTTTCAATTTACTATGTTCGAGAATTCAAGTTGGTATTGATTTTTAATTAATTCTTCTTTCTCCTGTTATAGGCTCAAATGCAAACCTACATTTAGTAGCATTTTTAACTGAGTGTTCGTTGCGGCTAACAAAAGATGGAGACAAGGTAATGAGTTGATCAGCAGAGTCCTTTTCAGTTTTTCTAACTTCATCCTTTTTCCATTCATCCACAATTGGTATTTTGACTATTGTTGTTTCTGATCTAGGATATCTGAGATGTCTCACTTGTCTGATCGCTCATGAATTGCTTGTTAACATGGGAGATTTTGCATTTTTTTTTTCAATATGCTTGTTAGTGGCAAATATATTTATGGGGGAGGGGGAGCAAGCATAGTTCATCCATGTTCCATTGCTTAAAACAATAAGGAACGGAGTACCCAACAAAGTAACACTTGCGCTTTCAGTGTCTCACTTGTCTGATCTCTCATGAATTGCTTGTTAACATGGGAGATTTTGCAGATGCACTTGTGCTTTCAGTGTCTCACTTGTCTGATCTCTCATGAATTGCTGGTTAACATGGGAGATTTTGCATTTTTTTTTTTCAATATGCTTATTTATGGGCGAGGGGGAGCAAGCATGGTTCATCCATTGCTTAAAACAATAAGGAATGGAGTACCCTGCAAAATATAAGTAGTTTGCGTGCATCTTGCACTTTTGCTTTCAGTGAGAGCTAGGAATTTCAGGCTGCTGCATGGGAAATTTTATGTGATGAATTAAAATTTGTGCAAATAACCATCTTCATTTGACTAATACATGCTTGTGTCAATAGTTTAATAGTTTAGGATAGACAATTTTTTTTTCCTAGAACACTATAACACAAACACGTACATGCTCTTTGATTTTATTTGACAGCAATTCCTTGCTCCATAATCTCTACTACTACCTCTTAGGTATTGTTTGGTAATAAAGAATGAAATGGTGGGAATGAGAATGAAAGACTTATTCTCACTTTGTAGGTATTTGGATGAAATGAATGAAGTGAGAATTAAATTAAAATTAAATACATTTTCTTTCCTATGTGAGAGGTGGGAATAACAATAAGAAATGAGAATGAGATTTTCTTTTCGCTTTGAAATAGTGATTTATTATTTTCATTTATTGTATATGAACTATTTCTACCACTATTACCACTTTCAACACCGCCAACACCATTGTCTCTGTCATTGGCAGTGGTGATAAAACAAATTCAAAAAGAAAAGGTATTATTATTGTTATTTTGTCACCGCTCCACCACCACCACCATTTTTATTATACTACCATCACTATCACTCTTCTTCCATTGCCAAATCTTATGGTGATGATATCAATTATTTCTAAAATATATTATTGATATTACTATATTATTATTACCACCGCCTCCCCCTTTTCCTCCACCATCTCTGCAATCAGATATTAAAAATTTTAAAGTTCATTCCGATTCCTTATTATTATTCCAAACACAATATTAGTATGAAACTACCATTCAGATTCTCTAATTTTTGTTTTGATTTCTGCATTCTCATTCTGGATCTTTCATTCCTAGTAACCAAACGACAGCTTCTCTTAATTTTTTGGAGCTTCTCTTCGTGCTTAGTTTGTATATTATAACTGGGGTAGCTGTAAAGGTTAAGTTCTTTTCATAGCTTTGAGTAGATGGTTTTATTCATACTTTCAGATCTTTATTGAGACATCTCTTGTGGTTATCATCAGATCAAATCAAATGCTGTGAGGGCTCTTGGAAATCTTTCTAGATTTGTCAAGTGTACAAATTTGTCTGGTGACCATGATAAGCCTGTGGATTCTCTGGACTCATCAACGAACAAAGTTGAGATGCTGCCAGAAAGGAGTAGTTTTTACCTTACATCAAATTCTCCCAATCCAACTTCATTGGGTGACCCACATTTGCTGAACAGAATGGTTCAAGCATTCCTTTCTTGTGTTACAACTGGGAATGTTAAGGTATCATCCCAATTGTTTTGATTTTATGATGAAACATTTACTGGGCTTGTGTGGTGCTCACTTTTATCTTGAATCTCTATTTTTTTATGCTCTCTACTTAACCATGAATAATATACATTTAACAGGTCCAATGGAATGTTTGTCATGCGTTAAGCAACCTCTTTTTAAATGAGACATTGACACTGCAAGATACGGATTGGTAAGGTGATTCTAAAATAGGGCTGTCTTTCACAATGTACTTGCAGTCACTTGATCATCATTACCCAACGAGGACCTTTTACGTGCTATAACTGTCCTCTTCTCTGCTTGTCAGTTTACATGCTTTTTCCTGGACTAAGTTCCACAAAAAGTACCTCAAATTGTCTGTTTTTATTTGTTTGCGTGCCTTGAATGGGTGCTGCAAAGTATGTATCTTTTGACATGCTCATGTGCCACGGTAATGTGTAAGCATCATAGTGATAAATTGAGTGAAATAGCTATACTTGTCTTTTACCTGTTTGGCATAAAGGTGCTCTATTTAGATTACATGCTTTTTGCAATCTTTTGTTTCGAATTATGCTCTTAACCCTAATTTGTAACATAATTATGCATGCATACTTTTTGGCAGGGCTCCATCTGTATTTAGTGTTCTGCTGCTGCTACTACGAGATTCTTCTAACTTTAAGATCAGGATACAAGCTGCTGCTGCTCTGGCTGTGCCAGCCTCAGTATTTGGTTAGTAGGACAGTTGAGCCCATTTCCATCTGTCGTGGTTAAGATTAATTGTCAAGTTGTATGCCTTACAGTATGTTGAATCATATGAAGCATCATATACGCCTTTTGAGCTATCAGCCTAAATTGCCAGCCAGATTCAATTATAACTGTTGTCTAGATGTTGAATATCTCTTCAGTTCATTCAGAAAATGTAATCTTAATCTTTTTTATTTGATGCCGAAGTTGAACTGTCAGTTCCCCTTATCCTCTGACTGCTTATTTCATGCAGATTATGGGAACTCCTTTTCGGATGTTATCCAAGGGCTGGAACATGTACTTGAGAATCTAGGATCTGACCAGCTTTCAGCACCATCAAATTTCAAATATAGGGTTGCACTTGAGAAGCAGGTTAATCTCCCGTGTCATTTACTTTTGTTTGAACAGAGAGGCATAGACAATTTTTAGCAAAAAAACACATTTTCAATTATAGCGAACTCCTTTCCACCAGAACTTTGTTTTATGTAGACTTTTTTTGGCATGTTATGAATGTCATGTTGATGACAGCCTCTCAAGCTATCCTGCTGTGATCTTTCTTTTTGCATCAGCGCTTGTGGCTGATATGCTTGAGTTAACCATGTGTTTTTCTTTCCAAATCTGTTTTACATCATCTCTTTTTCCTGGTCACAGGTAACAGCAACCATGTTGTATGTTCTTAGTCTTGCTTCAAGCACCGATCACCAACCTTTGAAAGATTTCCTTGTGAAAGTAAGCATTTCTATTGCATATACAATGTTAATTTGTGAAAGTATGAGTTTAAAATTCTTGAATACTGTGGAAAAACATTATGGAAAATTTCCTTGCTGTGATAGTATTAGAACATGTTGATCTAAAAGGGGAATGAAAAGAAACTGAAAAGTGGTGGGTGAGGAAATGATGGAAAAGGACACCCCCTTTGATTTTTTTCTAACATGAAAAAGTTATTGCTTCATTTCACATCTAAAATGCAACTGCTATGTGGAATAATTTAAAAACCAGAGTAAAGTATAGTAAATTCTATCCCTTGTTTGTGAAGTGATTGCAACAAGGTAAAGAATGATATTTGTTTGTGCATGCATGAGTGCATCTATGTTGTTTTCCTTGCCATTCCATCTTCTCTTTCCGAGCATTTTATGTTTCCAAAACACGCATCTGTGAACAAATGTGAGGACCTTTCATCGTTTCATATTGATATATGTTTTCATATCCTTGGCATTTTTAATTTTATTTATGCAAACCTTCCGAGCTTTACAGTCATCCTCATTTGTTTCATACAGAAAGCCCCATTTTTGGAGGAGTGGTTTAAGGGCTTATGCTCCTCATTAGAGGAGACAGGTTCACAGTCTGAGGCTGGAAGCTCCATTGGAGACCAAAAGAAACATATGATATCCAAGGCAATACAATCCCTAATCGAAGTGTACAAGATTAGTAATCACCAACCAATTGTGCAGAAATTTGAGAAGTTGAGCAACAACATACAGTTATAACACAGTTATTCCTTGATGCCTTGGTTATATTTCACATCGTTGGATTAAACAATTTTCCTGCCCAATCCAGCTATGTAATCGTTTATTCGTTTATGCTGGTGTATAGTACTTCGAAGACAGCCTTGAAGATCTAGAAGGCCGTGATAGTGAAGCAAGTTAGGTGGATGATTCTCCACTGTGTGTGTATGTTAGGTAAGGTTGCCGGGACCAACTATTTCTAACTTATCTTGTTCCTACATTGCGTCTTCTTTTACCGTTTGCAGCAGAGCATTTGAATTGTGATGGATTGTAACTTAGAAATACTTCTGTAAAGTAACAATGTCTTAATTTTTTCAGTTTTGCAATATACTTGAATTGAGCAATACGTAATGATTATGCTTGTGGGCGATGAATGCCTAAGCTGTGAAATTCTTCGAAGGGGCCATGGGGGCTGGACCATTATGTGGTTCTTTCTACATCTAGGAAAGCTAACAGACAAAAATCACACCTACTTCTGAACGAGCTTAGTTTAAAGTAGTTTTTGCTAATCTTTCTATTTTTATGACAATTTCCCTGAATTGTGAACCAAAGGCAATTAATGGGGTACATGTTAGTTGGTACGAATTCATTGATGTCGGACAGAGGATTGAAAAAGTTGGCTCTGGTCTCTGTAGTTCTGAATTTGGGTTCCTCGTGGGCCCGTCTATACCTTCATTGGTTGGATTTGGTAAGAAATGGCCATCTTTTGGCACTGTTTGGATGATAAAAGATATAGATGTGGATGAATAGAGAGAAAAGGGACGGTAAAGAATCGGTGTCGTTTTGCTTAATTGAGTAGATTTTTTTATACAGGTAGTTTTTCAAGTTGAAGTTCACATATTCTGTTTTTCTGATCAGACTGATTCTAATACGGTACTGAAGGCATGTGCTAAGGGAGCTTCCTCTGGTTTTATCCTTGTGTTTTCCTTATCTCCATGCAAATCAAAACAGTTGCTTTAAAATAAAAACAAACTATGATCCATCCCTTTCTTTTCCTCTCTCCCTCTGTATTCTCATTCTTCTTACCGAATCAAGTGTTGCTCTTCATGACATTTTAGGTATCTTATCTCATTATTGTCCTTCAGAAAGAAGTAACGATGCTCTATTTTATGGTGTCTTTTCAGTGGAATGATGCTTCCGTGGCGTCAAGGGTTAATATTGCTACTCTTGGAAAAAAAAAAAAAAAATCAATAATCTTTTCCTCTTCGCATGCAAGTTGTGGTCCTTCGATATACCACCGTTGCTGATTAGGGCAGAACAAAGTATATATTCGGCAAAAGAAATACTACCGTCACTCATCACCTCATTACTTACGAGTGATGAAAACTCGTTCATTAATAAATATAGAGTAAATTATAAATTAGACCCTCCAGTTTTTGACAAATGAATCATTAATTCTCTTGTTTTAAAAACTAATTATTTATCTTTTTGTCCATTTCATGCTCTCTTCTAATTTGTTTTGTTTTAAGAAATAAAAAAATAAATAGATATTATAAAAAAATATGAGAAAAGAAAATATTTTTTGAAATAAAATAATATGAAATTATACGTAGTTAATAATAGTAAAAAATCTAAATAATTAGTTTTTGAAAAAAAATATTTAATTCGTTTATCAAAACTAAAGGGACGAATTTATAATTTACTCGTACATGCATACTATCTAAGTGCGAGTATTATACATGCTTCCCAAACCAATTGGATGAATGAAGTTCTAACGTGATGATAATAATATTTTCTTAGGTTTATTGACATTTAACTCACCAATAGATTTCTGGTACAGCAATAAAGAGTTTTTTTGTGCTTACAAGAGATCACGAATCGAATATTTTATTTAAGAGCATTTGAATTTAAAAAATCTTATTACAAAAAAGGATCAAAATAGTCCTTCCATTTTATGATGGTAACCAATTCAATATGTCACGATAATAAAACTCTTTTTTTTTTTTTTGTTAATTACTAACTAATAAGCTAATTTTCTAACTATCTAACCATCAATTATGAACCGCCTCACTAATTATTAACTATTACCGCTAAATTCCTGACTGTTTAACTACTAATTGTAGAAGGTAGAATCCTATCTAAAAAAAAAAACATTTAACTGAAATTTGCTTTGAGGCTATGCTACGTCGTTTTTGGACAAATGGAAGTCATAGGATGCCGAGTTTACTAGTTGAGGTCCCCCTTGCTCCAAAACAGAGACAATAAATAAGCGTATCGGCGCTAAAGTGAAGGCTATTTGTCAGTCAATTGTTGAGGGCCTAAAACGGCTACAAAATTCAATATCTTTTTGAAATATTTTCCAAGTTGCCACCTACTTCAGTCGTCGCTTTATCTGAATATCTTTTTTCCTTTCCTTTTTTAGCTTTTGCTCACTCGCAGTCGCAGACTCAGTTACGTACCTGCTGCTTTCTTGTGCTTATGGATGACCATGGATTCTCATGGGTAAGATTTTAGGTATTCATTTTCTATCTTTTATTTGTCGATGAAATTTTAAATATTATTTATTATCCGTGATGATAAGAAAAAATTGAATATTTATATCTAATTCATAGGTTTTGAATATTTTTTTCAAATAAATACTATGCATATATATGTATAATGCTATTATTAAAATATCCATATATTATATTTAAAGAAAAAACTATACATATATAAACATCCTTATTGTCCACATTTTCTTAATCTGACCTTTCTATTTTTTATTTATTTATTACTTTTTTGTGCTTTTTAATTTTTTCTAATATGGCCTCTTCGATTGTGTTCGACGAATTTTTCGATCAAAATTGACATTTGAAATTAAAAAATCTACATGGCATGGCACATTTTTTTTTTGCTATGTGAAAAAAATTAAAAATATAAATTTATTTTTTCTCCTTCCTCACTCTCTTTCTCTTCTATCTTTTTCTCTCCTCTCGTGGTTGTAGTTTCAAACTTCAAATTCTAAAACTTAAAATCCTAGTCATCCTACAAAAATTCCTATTTAGTTAATAATTTTTTTATTTGGAATTTTTCAATAGTTCATTGATATATATATACCTATTTTCTTTTTCTTTTAACATATCAAATATAAATGTTGAGTAAGTCGATCTTTGTAAGTTACCGATTTTGATAAAATCATTTCTAATCAATTCTTCATTTTGCTTCTAAAATTGAATAATTAGATGGGAACACATATGTCTAATAATTAGACATTTACAAAAATTGCCTCTTTCCATTCTATTGTTTACAAAATTAAGAGACACGTCCACTAAGAGCAAAACTCGTTTGCATACAAAAGTGAGCCATGAAGACTCCACATCCTCTCGTTGGAGGTTACCCCATCTCTACAAAAAGCGGACATTCAAAATGGTCGGGCCATTTCTACATCCGTAACCACAATCAAAATTTGTGAACAAGACCAACAAGCAACTAGTCGTTAAAAGTAAAGAGCATGCCTCCATTTGTAGTTGGTATTACCACCTCCCAACCAAGCCCTTTCATAGGAATTGAATAAGTAGATGAGAACACATATGTTTAATAATTAGACATTTACAAAAATGGTCTCTTTCCATTTTACTATTTGCAAAATTAAGAGACACGTCCACCGAGAGCAAAACTGCGGTCGCATACAAAAGTGAGCCATGCAGACTCCACATCCTCCGTTGGAGGTCACCCCACCCCCATAAAAACGAGACATTCATAATGGTCGGTCCATTTTTGCACTTGTAACCACAACCAAAATCTATGAACAAGACCAACAAACAACTAGTTGTTAAGGGTAAAGAGGATGCCTCCACTTGTGGTTGGTATTACCACCTCTCAACGAAGCCCTTTCACATGAATTGAATAAGTAGTAGCAATGCCATCCGGTGACAAGCCTATAATCAAATCATTAGATCCAAAACCCTCTTTAAATCTCCATCAACGATATTTGTCCGTATCAACTTGTCTTCTTCTGTTTCTTCATCCCGAAGCAAAGCCAATATATCCTCATCTTGGAAGTTCAATCAAAATATCAATCTATCATAATAGAATGCTTAGTTTTCAACATGCTCCTAGTCGTCCGGGTAGTATTGTCAAAAGTCATTGTTTCACCATTAACACTAAATTAGAAGGTGTCTTCAAAAAATTAAAAAAATAAATAAGGTGAAAAAAATCAAATCTTTCTTAATTCTAGCCATCAATGAACCAAGGACTTTAAGAAAGATATCATTGCTGCCATTAATGGTCAAGTAAAATACGAAGAGGTGAAAAACAAAGTAGATAAAACAAACCTCTCGTGACTTCAAAGTCGTTAGACTTGGTTCGCTCTTGCTGAAACTGTCTTTCTCTAGTCACCATATGCTCAAGCTTTAACTTACTAAAAGCTCTTTTCAAAATACAACCTTGTAAGCATATAATTTTTCAGTTATCTAGCAACCAAACAAAAGCATTAAATGAAAACAGAGACCACCATTAAATACCTCAACAAATTGAGTTATTGTTAGCATGCAAACATGAATAGGTTTGGTTTGCCCAATTTGGTGACATCTATCCATGGATTGCGAGATCCATTTGAGAGTTTTGAAATTTAGATGTAAAAATCAATGAAATAGTATGATTAGGAAACATCTAGAGTTTTAGTATATTAAAGGTGGACAATGGAACATAAGATCAAGAAAATACCCAATAACTATCATACAATATACATATATCAACTAAAGTGAGGTTGATACCTAATCCACCAACTCTTGTGTTAAGAAAAATGCCCTACATTGGTTGTCCCCATTATTAAACTCCTCAATTTGTTGAACATGAATAAACGGTTTTCGGACTATAACTATTGAGCTTGTGATTTAAAGGAAAATTGAGCAGATTTATCGACTTCATGAGGAGAGAGAAAAATCAAAGGGTTTATATATATATATATATATATATATATATATATATATATATATATATATATATATATATATATATATAGGTTTTACATGTATGTGGCAAGTTTGATTTGATGTGTCTAGGGTTTTCGTTCGGTAATTCGGTTCGATTTCGAACTTTTTTGATCGGTTTTCGATTAACCAAATTGCCTAAAAAATAACCGAAACCAAACCAAATTATTATTCGGTTTTTCGGTTCGGTTTTGAAATATATCGATTTTTTTATTCGGTAATTTGGTTTTCA